AGACTCAAAACATTGCTTCACTTAAAGACACTGAATAGCCAATAGGATGGCAGACCAAACGTACATTAACTTACGTCATATGGCCACCTGATTCTCACAATATCTTGTCCTGTTGCAGTTCAGGGTAACAGGACGTTACCCACTGACAATGGACCTGAGCTCCTATTAGACCAGAAGGCATGATACTGGGCTATAACACTCTTAATCATTCCATACCACACACAGTCTGAGGCTAAGCCTTGACTTTAAAATGAACAGTCTGTTGATCTGTGAGCTTTGAAGTCTGCAAAACCTTCTATCATGTCTATGCAAATTGCTTAAATTCACACTTCACTTAGAAAATGAGCATGTCTGTACTATAAACTGTATTGTGCTTGCAGTTTCTGCCATAAACTTTAATCTAGTTGCACGATAAACAATTATAACACAAATGTTAAGAGGTAAGAAAAATAGATTTGCAACAATTTTCACATTATTTTTTTCTTTTATAAACAAGAACTAACTGCAAAATAAGGAATCACATTTATATCCATGTTATCCATGTTCTAAGTCTTCACAGCATTGGATTGTTTTAATGAAACCTAGACTGCATGATCAGGGCAGAAAGCAGACTGGTGTCCTTGAATGTTGTGAACAGCCCACATCGTTTCCCCAAAGCAGTTTGTGTGGGAGACAATAAAACCTTGCAGCATCTTCATCATTTCATTCCTGGAATGGTTCTTACATCCTGGAGTGCCTGTATCTTCTGGTTTAGTTCCTCCCAATGCTAAGAGGCACTAGCTTCTGGCGAGTGGATGCCTTGCCTTTAATAACACCTCCATCACTTCAAGTGGTGTCCAACACCCCATCATCTGCATATATCAACTTGTCAAAATCGCGTGCCAACATTACACAAGTCCACAACTGACAAGTCATGATCAAACCATCCTGTACAGATGGAGAACTTAATATTTAATTAGGTGAATAATCTAATTAGATTTTTATACTTACAGGAAGAGAGGCAATTTACACTTAAAAGGTTTAAAAAACAAATTGGTAGCTGAAGAAATCATTGCTTTAATTTTTTTAATAAAGATTTACACAGCAGTGCTTTCAGGGTTTGGTATTCATATCTGGCAAGCTGTGACTTCAAGTGTCTTCGGGTGAAATTATTATTTATGTCAACCTTGCTGTTCTTTTACTAGACAGGAGCTGAAATAAAACTTGTAAGAGCAGGTACTGAATACCAGGACTTGGAATTTACAGTTCAGTAAGAAGAAAGCTTTCACATTTCATCTGACAATTTTTTTTCAGCTGTTTGTCCTATTTTCACCTGATTCACAATTTCTAACCCGGTTTGTGTAATACTACTTTGCAAAGAAGCTTTGCTGTCAACAGTTCATGAATTCCATGTTACCTTCATCCTTTGCTCACCCTCTAATTTTTTAAAAGACCACATTTCGGAGACTATCTCAGTATTGTTAGGAGAGAAATACTGTTCACATTTCATTTATTTGATGTACAGTAATTAATGAACGTTATCTGTTGTGTTGCACAGTACCTGTTAAAATATAAATGTAAATGTAAACTTACTTGCAAATGTAAAAGCATAATATGCAAATATAAAAATAAATAAACTGAAGAATAGTATAACTTCTCAATTTTTTCTGCTCTAACACTAATGCTGTACAAGTACCATGTCCCCACCAAAGGAATGTAAATACTGTGCATAAAGTCGCTGCACTCAGTATACAGTACATACATCATACATGTGATCAGTACATATACAACGTTTTATGTACTTTTATGATTTGTTGTTCCATTCATTAGCAGATTTCACATTAGCTACATATGATATAAAACACTTGAAGGAAGTATGACTATGGTATAACCAGGCTGCTTCTGCAGATGGGTGAAATATGTCCATTCAGTTTCACTGAGCCTGACCAGGAATGAAAACAAAACAGTGAACTGGAACCTTGCATTCAAGTGCTTCACTTTCCATTCATCACACAAAGATGACTCATTGTTTTAGAGTGAACAGTAGGAGTCTACATGCATGAACACCTTTTTTTTTGGATTACAGTCATAAACTAGAAAACTCCAAGCAAGCATTTTTGAAGCCCTCAAACCAATCCCACAACACAGGGTACCTTTAAACGAAGAGCTTGAAAGACAAAGGCAACAAGGAGATAAAAGTCTTACAGTATCTTACTGGTACTAGCTGGATTTAAAATATAAAATGTAGCATATGGAGTAAAACTGAAGTCTGAGATGAAGTGGCTCAAAACCTTTTGAGTAGTAGTGATGGGCGTGATGGGTCATGTTTCTCAACTGACCATATCAACTTTTCAAAGGAAAACTGATAAAGCTTTACTTGTTTGTGAAAAGATTCTGTCAGAATCTGACAAGATTCAAGTCAGGAGGTGCTGCAGCACATAATACTTAATGGACATAACTGTCAGGCCATCAGTTGTGATGACACAGGTAATTTTTGTCAAATGTAACAGCTGATCTGTCTCTGTATACTTCACTAATATGAAGTGGCTAGTTCAATAGGCCACCAAACACTAGCAGGTGGGAATTCTAAATCCTCATACTACTTGATAGCCTCATAAACAGCCTATCTATGTTCACACTTAAAACATGCATTAATTGGTACTGTACGTGCAACACACCATAAAATACACAAAGCTACATTCAAGCTGGTTTTAAAAGGAAAATGAATAAAAACAATAAAATCAGACACCCCGAGGTACTGTAGGTAAAATGAGTGTGTTCAAACTATGAAATTCAAGTCAAGGCAGGGCAAGGTTCCGATCCCCACCTTTCTCCTGCAGGGTATGAAAAAAACACTGACTGTACCACAGGAATACAGCACACTATCATTGTGAGACACACAGGGTGTAAATCTTTTGGCATGCAGCAAAAAGCAAAAAGTCACTCAAGGCAAAGAACAGGCAACAAGTCTCCCTCTCCCATCGATTCACAAAAGTTACGAGCACAAGAAACTGAGAAACTTGGGAGCTATAAAATTGATCTTATTCCTTAATTTTTTACTATTTTCTAGGTAATAATCATAAAAATACAGTATACAAAAAATGTGTTTTAATAAGGCCCATATTATTTGAAAATATATTTTACTTTAAGAAAAATTGCTAACGCTGGACCAGTTATGGTTGACACCGAGAAATAAATGTCCCTCTTTTGTAATTCTCATCAATTTTGAATTTTGAAGATAATGCTTCTGAGAGTTTTCCAGCTACAGAGCACTAATTAAGAAGTCCAATATTTTCCCTTTAAAGAAATACCTGTGGAATGCGTTTTAATTTTCAACATGTTCAGATTTTGCCTTTATTTTAGTTCTTGATGTAATAGGCCCATAACTAAATAACCACTCTGTGCATTGAAATAGCATGGAATCAAAAATTAAAAAAATTTAAAAAGTGTAATAATAATAATAATAATAATAACTGCTTACACTTATATAGTGCTTTTCTGGACACACCATTCAAAAACCTTTACAGGTAATGGGGACTCCCCTCCACCACCACCAATGTGCAGCCCCACCTGGATGATGTGACGGCAGCCATAGTGATGCCAGAACGCTCACCACACATCAGCGATCAGTGGGGAGGAGAGCAGAGTAATGAAGCCAATTTATAAATAGGATTATTAGGAAGCCATGACTGGTAAGGGCCAAAGGCAAATTTGGTCAGGACACCAGTGTAACACCCCTATTCTTTGCAAGAAACACCCTGGGATTTTTAATGACCACTGAGAGTCAGGACCTAGGTTTTACGTCTCATCCGAAGAAGTCCCCATCACTTACTGGGGCATTAGGACCCACATGGGCCACAGAGTGAGCGCACCCTTCTGGCCCCACTAATACCGCTTCCAGCAGCAACCTTAGTTTTTCCCAGGAGCTCTCCCATCCAGGTACTGACCAGGTTCACACCTGCTTAGCTTTAGGGGGCTGCCAGCTGTGAGTTGCAGAGTGATATGGCTGCTGTGTAGGAATCCCTTGAAATTGGTTTTTGTTTTAATTATATTTTTATCGAATTTCTATTTTTTAAAACGTTCAAGAATAAAAATGCATTCCAATACTTTTTTAACCAAAGACGCAATTGTGACGTAAAACTAAATGATTTTTACAGTACATAATTCAGTTTAAAGTGATCTATAATAATGCAGCATATAAAGATACCATAAAGTACTACTGTATTTCCCTTATAAAGATTATGTGGATGGTCTTGGTAGCAATGTTTGGGTAACAACCGTATTGCATTTTGTGAGGCACAATCATGAAACAATGAACCTCTTTTTTTGATAAAGGGCACTCAAATTGTGGACCAAAAATATTTCCGGTTGGATGCTGTCATAAATCAGGTCGCTTCACTGTATTGTCAGATATTGTAATTCTTGTATTTTCTCACTCAAGGGATGGCTTGTTATCTTAACCCTAACGAACCACAGGTGCATTGAGATTAATGTTATTTTAATGACAATTTTAATAATATTCAAGATAAGGAGAAAAGCTTTATGGAGAGTAGGAAATGTTTGCTCTTTTACTAAATCTGTATAATTATTAAAATGTTAAATAATCGATAAATACATTACATTTAAGCTTTGATAAAATTATGTTATTTTATTTTTCTTTTTTTAATGAGAATATTTGCCCGAAACAGTTTTCAATGAGAAGTGCGTTTACTGGCAGGATAAACCAACGTCTGTTCTACACATATTTGTCCTTTCAAATCTGTAAAATACATTTTACCAATTAATAAAGCCACCAGCTACTAAAACATTAGACGTTTATCAACATTCGAAACTGAAAACCATACAAATGTAATAAATAATTACAAATATTATAATTGTGGTGAAATGTTCGAAAGAAGAAAGTAAAATCAGTTTCTGTGTAGTCTAATCTGCGCCAAACTTTTCAAATTAAAACTACAATTACCACAGAGCAGTGGTATTTGGCGCATGCGTTCCCTCAACACCGGGAAGTAGCGGCTAATTTGAAGGAAGTTACCTTCGGATAAACAGTCAAGTGTTGGGCTTGTGTTTTGGATTATTAGTGTCACGGATAAAATGTGACATTTCTGATTATATATTCACTAAATCAATATATGAATAGTACTGTACGTATAGTTTGTGATAATATCGACTTTGTACTCCATTGATCGTGAAGAATATGCAGACAACTATCCTGTTTCCCAAGGAGAAGCACAGCTGCTGGTGTCTTAACGAATAAGAACGCAAGTTAAAAAAGAAATATTAAAAACGTATAATAGCACTTATTTACATAAACCAGTTTATATTATATTTATATTACCTTGAATTACAATTAATAAGAAGGGCATTCGAGGGGAGATAGCAAGAGGTAAATTATATTAAGATGAGGTGCGTGTTTATAATCTTAGTGTAAAACATTTTGTATATAAGGCGAGTACCATCTTACGTAATTAATGTCAGTACTTCAGGTAGAACAAGATAATTTCTAGGTTTATTCGCGAACTACCTGCAAGGTTTCCTGGAGATAGATCATGTCGTGATATTTTGTACAACAACTTGGGTTATTAAGTGAGGCTTTGATTGTCAACTGTGGTATTGTAAGCAATCTTATTATTTGACATTTGCTTTTTTTAGGTAATCTTGTACAGCTCAGCATGGAGACACCAAACACAAGGAAAACAAAGCCTGTGTTCTGCACGCCAGACAGCACCTTGAATTCCACACCCCATGGCCTCAGTGTCAAACAGGTGCCAGACCTAGACAGACGTGTGCGGTTTTAAACTCTTCCTATGAGACTCTATGCTCCTTACACTGTCACACTGCCATGGCTGAGGTATTGGTAGAGCTGTTTCCACCAACTTTATTGTCCCAGAAACAGAATTGTGGCTACATGTCAATGTAGGTTTAAAGGCAAACCACTATTTACTTTAATTGGTGTCACTCCTTTGTGTAACATCCATTTCAATTATTCTAAAAGCTTACATAGATCAAAACTGAGACAGAAAGGTCTCACATCTTACTGGTTATTATAGAGTGAGTCTGTATGTTGTGCCATTGTGATCCATTTAAATCCATTTTACCTCTGGATTTTCAGAGGTAGCTGTTTTAAATAGTCTGTTTAAATTACATTTGAACCAGCCCTCCTCAATCCTTTAATATATTGGTCAGTTTGTAGGTCTTCTTGTCAGAACGCACTGCTGAAAGACTCTTGAACAACTGGCTAAGTATTTATACAGTAGGTCCCACACTGTTGTTTATTTTGACACGTCTTGTAAATAATATTTATTCACTGCGTTCTTTTCCGAAACGATGTCTGCCTTTAATGTTTTTCAACAGCGCTGACTAACCGAATGCAACCTGAGGTTGTTTCTGTTCTGGTTTTAGCCGATGAGTGCTTCACTGAAAGAAAGACTGAAAAGAACAAGGCGCTCTTTTCATTCCCCATTTACGGTGGCAAAACGGCTTAAAATAGATCCACCCGAGGCAGAGGACGACTCGAAGGTGCAGGAAGTGTCTCCAAAGTCCGAACGTGACCTGGACAGTGCCGGCGGGAACACAGTCAGCATTAATAAAGGGAGGCCTTGGGAGAGCCCGGAGGTGACCGATACTTCCAGACAGTGGGATGTGTGCAGAACCGGCACAGAGAGTGGAAACGAAGCAGCACAGAGCAGTTCCTCCAGAGAAAGAGCTGATCCTCCCGCACAGATAGATCTGCTTCAGCTGAGAGACAGGCTAAAGAAAGAAGTCGGAGAAAAGGAGGAAATGCTGCGGAGACTGAAGATGGTTAGAATGTACAGAACAAAGGTATCTCAAGCAATATGTCAGATATCCTCCGATGTACTGTGCTGTAAATTGAACAGTGAGCGGATGTACTTTCTCATTGTGTGAAGTCATGTAATTACATGACTGAAAACATGACATTAAAATATGCTATAAGACTATAACGTTTTGGCTGTGGAGCCTTCTTCAGGTGAGGGCACCCAAAGAAGGCGCCACAGCCGAAACATTGTGTTTCTTGTCTTTTCAGCATGGAATAAACCTTTACTTGTTCCTTTGCAGCTTACGCACGCTGACTCAGCTAACTACTATAACACTAGAGATCTGTATTATTGCATTTTAAATGAACTGTAATTGAGAATTGGAACTAAAAAAGAAAACTTCAGGACATTTTGTGATATTTATCTGTGCCGGTTCTGTAGTAATAACTATGCAAATTGCAAATAAAACTTGGAAAATATTTCCATGGTACTGGATTATGCAAATTGAGTACCATGGAAATATTGTCCGTTTTATTTCTTGCAGTGTGAATTAGCTGAAAATGTCTTTTTTTATGTTTAGAATGAAAAATCAATTTCAAGTGAGAGGAATTCAAGTTATGGTGACATGATAAATCTCTGTAGAAGCTGAGGAAAAACCTCAACAGATCTGGTGCATTTTGTACACTTCAGAAAATGGAAGTATTTACAGGCCATATTGTATTTTTCTTTCCAGAATGACCTGGATAAGCTACAGTTTCTAATCAACAAGTGGAGAGGCAGCAGCCAGGCAGTACTATATGAGCTAAAGTCAGCCTTCTGCACTGATGGGAGACAGCTTAGTCTCACACAGCTTATAGATCACTATGGGCTGGATGACCGCATTCTGCACTACAACAGGACAGAGGAAGAGTTCTCAGACCAATAAACTTTACAAAATGGAACAATTTTTTTCTCCTGAAATGTTCACTTAACAGTTTTCTTGTACTTTACATGAACGTTAACTCTCTTTAAAGAGTCTGGTTTCTCAATTCTGTGAAAAAAACAGATGGTTTTGAGATTGATCCTATATTTTTCAATGTTTTGTTGACTGATTAGTTCCACTAAATCTTTAAAGACAGGACACTATAGTAACGTTTATATGCTGATCAAGTCTACTTCAGTTTGTTATAATGTAGGCAGTGTTGTTGAAATTAAATCTTGTCTTCCTTAAATCAATATTTATTTATTTTTTTGAGAAGTTAATAAATACAGTACTTCATTGTGTACCTTCAGTCTTTATTCGTAGAAGTACCCATCTCATGCCCTTTAAGATATAATACGATTGTTAAAGCAGTCAGTTACAATTAAGATTAGCTTTAGGCCATAGGTTTTTTACACAAAAAAACTATTGACGTGTTTAATATGTCTATGTATTTTATGAAAAAAATGTAATTGAAGTGTTTGGCTTTAATGGATGGGACTGTGCTGATGCTGTGAGTTCTAGTAAAGCAGTGGTGTAAAAACCCAGTGTCCTGTTTTGTCATGGGCTTTCTCCAGGTGTTCAGTGTTCCAGCTGGACCAGGGCTGGGAATGTCTTCATTCTCAGTCTCTCCACCTCTGCTCGGAGGATGGCCACCTCCTGAGCTTGTGCTTTGGCCAGATCCACCAGCTTCCTCCTCTGGATGATGTCTTGATACCGCTCTTCTGTGGTGGTGTCCTGGTTTTGCTCCACAGCTGTTAAAGTTAAAACAGTCTATTAAGGAACTGAATTTCATAATAAACAGAGGTAGGATACACAATAAGTGAGAGTGCTACAGGGGCTTACAGAGAGCACAACATCTGCTGCCACATACCAAAAGGAAAGGCCCAAAACTATTAGATAGTAATCCTCATTGTACAAGTGCCAAATTAATGAAGGAAATTCTTTGTTCCTTGTGTTCCTAACAGAAGATGACTGGAATAAATGGGGTAGAATTTCATTGTGTGGATTTAACCTTTCTCTGCATGTCATACCAATCCAGTAAAGCCCTTATGGGTCCTCAAAAGGATCAATGTTACCTCACCTATAGCGTCGTAGATGTGTCTCCTCTCTGCCACGGTCACCATCATCTCCTGCAGCTGCTGATCCAGGATTGCATTGGCCTTTGCCTTTTGTGCGATCTGCCTGTTCAGTTGTTTGATCAGCTTCTTGGTATTGCTCACATTCTTCTTATGGTTCTACAAGGTGACATGATTTTTGTGAAACTGTTTGCATTTTCTGTGTTAACTAGATCTCTTTCCAGTTTTTAAAAGAAGCATGTTAACATTATTTTATTCCCATTTAATACAAACTGTATGTAGATAAGTTTAATATTTTCTTTCAAATCAGAGATGATATTTCCTAGAACATTCTGAATATAAGTTATTACAGATCCACGACAGATATGTTTTGAAAATAGATTTCCAAAAATAATAATGGGATATATGGAATTGTATGCGCTTCATGTGTGTTATACTGGTTAACGAGCTTATTTATAATGAGTGCTCACTGAAGGGACACCCATTATAGAGAAATGGCAGCTGGTGGCCATGGCATGGCATTAACTACCAACAGCTTCTCTCTGAATGACTGTGAGCAGTCTGTGCTTTAAATGATTTAAGTACATTTAGCTTCCCTCACATTAACTTTCAATGACAGACATAACATCTGGAGATGGGGATAGTTAAAGATTAGCATGTTTACCTCACCTTTTCTTGCATAGAAAGTGTTTTTTGCAAAGTCGAAAGCTGTGTGGACAGACGGTCATCGTGATCTGTCTCATTCAGGTACTGAAAAAAGAAAACAGCAAAAAAATATGGTCACTGTTAAAATGGAAATCAGTCAGATGTCTTTTTACCATGCCAATACTTTTTCTCCCAAGCAATTTCAATTTCAAAGCTGCGATGAAGAATAGCTGAATCAGTATTTATTTTTTTTTTAACTAGAAACTGTGGTTTAGACTAAGTGTAGTCTAATGATAAAGTAGTGGCTGCAGCGAAATCAGAAGTAATTATTTCATAAGATATCTAATGCAGTGAGTAGATCAACACCAATTAGACTGGCATGGCTTTTTTTTACTAAGGTAAGCTGCTCAGTCTTGAAAGGCTTTATTTTAATTAAAACTTGTAATTGCCAAGTAGCTTCCTCTTCGAGACTGATGATCACTGAAGTAACATACTGCCTGCAGTTCTTGGGTGACCCGCAGCATCTGGATATCCCGGGCTTTATTGTGCAGGTCTTCCATGTGCATTCGCAGCTTCTTGTGCTCCCACTCCTGCTGGATGATGCCCTTTCTGAATTCTTTACTTTCCACCATACTTGCAATCTTCTGCTCTCCTAAAGTCTTAGTGAGGACACAGAAATTGAGACATGAAATGAATCATCCTCAACCTAACCAGTCTGTTCAGGCTGAAGGTATTCTGTTCCATTCTGTTCTGGAAGACCAGAGTGGAAAAATACTTAATAAGCCCTAATGAAAGCATAGCAAAGTAAAACTATGACATTTCTGTAAAGCATAGAGGGATATACTACAGTAAACCATGATATCAACCATGAGAAGCCATCACACAGACAAGTCAAGTGAGTATGATGCTTTAGAACTGTAGTTATCACTTGGGAGAAATACAGTTACTTTTGGCAGCTTATTAAGATTTACAGTATTGCTTTTTTGCACCTGAAGAGAAGAACTTTAATTAAATTGTAGAAGCAGGATATTCCAAACCACAAAGTAAAAGAATGTGCATTTGATTTAAAGCATTTAACAATTTAACCAAGTCTATTGATATTGATACATTTACTGTTGTACATGTGTGATTGGTGCACAGAAATGCACAGTCCCTACCTTGATAGTTCCATTAAGATCTTCCACTACACTCCTGTGCAGTAATACAGAATCAGAATAGTCTGCAATGAAGTTCCCGGTCTCCACTTCCACCTGGCCTTGCTTTATGAGGAACTGGACCATTAGATCCAGCTGGAATCTCATCTTCTCATCGCGTGTCCTGTGTAGAAACAAGTCATTCATTTTTCAGGAGGTAGAAGTTCAATTCTCAATCAATGTGCACAATCGAAAACTTTCTGTGATTCTTTTTACACAAAATTAAGGTATTTTAAATCCAAACAACATATCATGTGGTTGTAGTAGTAGAATAGCAGTATTTATAAAACAGAACAAAGCCTGGCAAGTGAAAGTTTAGTTGTTCCCACTCCTGTCACAACTTACCTTCCCTTCAAACTGTAATCTTACAAACTAAAACATGATGCTTGATAACTATTTTTTTGGGAGATCTATGACAATAAAGAGGGAATCAGTGAACTCTATACCATATAAATAATGAGGTTCCCATTGCTTTACAGTTCCTGGATCCTGGGTTGGATTCTGAGCTAGGCAACTTTGTGTAGAATTTGCATGTTAGTGTGGCTTTTCTACAGGTGCTCTGCTTTCTTTGCACTTGGCAAAGATATGCTGATCAGGTTAACTGGTGTCTCTAAAAGGTTCCTGTGTCTGTGTGCCCTGGTGTGGATTTGTGTCCACTCCAGGGTACAGTTGCACATTGCACACTGTGTTTGCTGGGACAGGCTGCAGATCGCTGTGACTCTAAATTAGATTATATTGCTTTAGAAAATAAATGGATGGAAATACAATGAAGGACACAATGCTCCATCAACAATCAAAATGACTGATGCTGAATATTGAAGTAGAATCTAATGTTGAGGAATCTATGCAGACTTCATAACAAAACAGTGGAGTCTCATCGCTGAAAAATTCCAGCAATACCATATGAAGACACATTTTATATGTAAAAGGTTACTAAACCACTTATAGCTTGAATTGAAAAATTGTAGAAAATACTAGACATTAAAAATTACAATTTCACTTTTAATGTAATTATTTTTAAAAGTAATTAATTGAAACTAGTGCTACTTGACAATGTGTCACACTGAAAACGAATTGCCTAGATTTACTGAGGTTGAAGGGACTTCATAATGAAATAACTGTAAGTGTTCACAGAGAAAAGTATAGTGTCCAATATAATACATTATGTATTACACTATATTTCATACAATATATATACTTTATGGAGTTAACTTAAAATGTGACTTTCAGTCATTCTGGTAAAAAATATTTCACTATAGCCCACCCCTCAGTTTACAATAATTGGTATTATTTTTAATAACTGCATTTCAGGGTCTCACCCATTAAGCTCATCTATGATGTTTTTAATATCCTGTTTCACACAATCATCTTCTTCAGTTCTCTTTTGCAAAAAAGCTTGCATCTCAGCAAGTGTCAGAGCTTTTAGTTTCACCTGGAAAAGGAGAGAAAGATGTGAAACATGGTAGCTTCATCATTATAATATACTACAACAATCTTTGTTTTTCAACCAGAAAATCTGTCTTAAGCATGAGATTTTTTGGGGGTTTACTGGGGAAATATTCACATAATGCATTTGACCTCAAACACCCTTATAATTTTAAAACATACAATTTGGACTACCTGAGCTAGATAATACAAGGCTCCAAAACTGTTATAAAGGACTTTTAAATATTTATATACATGAAATAAACTGAATAATAAGTTAATAGATTTTTGCACTTTCTACATCTACATTAAAAATGGTCTTATACTGTATATATATACAGTACTTTTCTTATGCAGAGGTAGATGTTTTGTATGATACTGGGCATTAATCTGCCCTACAGTCAGCTTTCAACTAGACAGCAAATGGACTCCAGGCAATAATCTGAGCAGGCCATGCAGTACAGATCCAGCAGCATTGATGGATTTTCATTGGCTCATGTCAAGACCAGTTGTGGCATGTTGTGTGAATGCAACTTGCTGATCCAGCGGAGAATCCTCACCTGTTGTTCGCTCTTCACCTTGGCTCTCCTGGTCAGACAAAAGCGTTCCCACACTGCAAGGTCTAGACCCTCAGGCATGTTCTCTACCGCATCCAGCTCATCCATGGCCTTCATCAGCTGAGACAGACCTTCGCTGACTGCTCTAGCTGACTCCGGCCGGTCTTTGAAAGGACTGGAGTTGTCTGTTTGAGTCCTCATTCTTTGGACCCTGTACAAAAGCATTAGCTGACATGAATCAATTCACTTACAGTATGTCATTGACTAATCCACACATTAAATAAATCTCCAGCTGCATGCTAACCAGTTGCCAGTACCCCCTGGCAAACACAATGGCTGCAATACTTATAGACCAAGAAGGGACTAGTGTAGATGTACATTTCATAGGGAATTTCCTGCAATGCTGACTAACAGGAGCTTATTTTCTTATTAATTCAGTATTTTTGCAAATTGAAGTCAATTATTTAAAGGTTCCACTGCTGCATGATTGGGAATCAGATTTTATTCAGATTTTGAAACCAAGCAACCAGTGATACATATATTTATCACAGTGTTTATAGACAGCCAAAGATTACTTTTTGTTGGTGATTTTCAAAAGTGACTGATGTGAATTTTAAGCAACAATATTAGTACTAACAGAGACAAAACTTCTATACTGTTCTGTTATGTTTTCACATTCATACACTGCAGTGCATGGTCTATGATTAATTTATGTCTCTATGTTTATAATTTATGTGAATACTGTCTGATATTTCACCTGGGTCTGCGCTTAAACAGCTTGTACAGGTGGTCAACTAAATGGGCAGGTACATCACCAAACTCCTTCCTGAACCCGCGATCAAGCAGCTGAGTGGGAGAGAAGAAAATATATTTACATTTTAAAACAAGGATTTCCATTTAAATGTACAACTAATCTACAGTTTAAATATATATTTTCTGCTAAGTAAAAGCCAGAATCACAATGATATTTGATTCAACTATGAAATACAGTGACTGTTTTTTAAAATAATACATTGATATTCCTTTTAACAGTTGTCAAAACTGTTGTTTTAATCGAAGGGAAGCTATTGTATTTGTAAAAGAGGGAGAGATGCTCTAGAGGGATTGCACACAAGCTTTGATGTCTCAGTACTGTTGCAGTAAGGAGTCTTGTGGCTATCAGATCCATAATATACAGTACCAACACATTTCAGGACAACTTCAAGGTACAGTAACTTCAAGAACCTGGGAGCGAAGTCATGATTTGGTAAACCTAGAATAAACTCAAAGTCTTACTTTGTCCTCTGCAACGACATTATCATAGTTTTCTCGGAAGGCATCAACTTCTTCTTTGCATTTCTTTACTTCTTCTGCAATTTCATTCTGTCAGCAACAAGAAGCCTATATTTTAGCTATGTCTCCATATAATAGTCTGCATTTTAAATACATGCAATCAAAGATCTGGAAAATAGACATGCAACATAGTTTAACATCTCGTTAAAGTTTACATTATAATATGCAACATAGTTTACCTTCATGTTTAATGTCTATAAGAGATCACATTACTGATTTGCTAAGCAATGTTCAATAAATATCCAGTGTTCAAACTACAGAGCTAGCTCATACTGTATAAGGATTAAAACTAGGTCTTAACCAATAAAAGTGAATGTTGTTCTTCAAAATAAGGGGATACAAACATTCTTGCATCCAAAGGTGATGTACTGTAGGTATTACACAAGTTTGTTCTTGCTAGAGGTGACACACCCTTAAAAGCATAAGAGCTGCAGCACAACATGAAACATTTATATTACTGATCTCTTACCACTGTTTTTCTAATTGAAACATCCTTTCTATAAATTATTAACAGTTTTCAATGAATTCATAGTATTAATGAGTAAAATTGTATTTGTTTAAATCTTAAAACAGATGAAGTAGAGACACTTAAGGTCTCTGGTGTCTGGTGACAGATTGCTACCCTCATTTTCCTTGTTTTTTCAAGTTTGTAGTTAAGTTCTTTCTCTCTGTTCACCAGCTCTTCCTCGATGAGAATTGAGTAAACCAGATTTGCAATCTTCAGCTCCTCCTGAAAAACACAGTAGAAGTGTGATCGATGAAAGGGAATTTTAAGCTTAATTTGCCCTTTATGGTAAGCAAGACTTAATGTACTGTATTTGATCAAACCTCCATCACAAAATTCATTTGTTACCTCCTTTTAATATTTAGTGATGTTTTTCTCATACTTTTATGCAACAAGATTATAGCTTTAAGTTAAAATGTTCAAATGACACTAACATTGGGAATATAAACTACACTTTCTGTATTCTGTATCATAATAATTCAGGAACATGCCGCAGCACACAGTGTCTATACCTTACAGTCACAAAACATTTCCTTGATAATAGAGTGGGTGTAGACATTGACAGGTATAAAGTTCTTCCTGTTTGTTCAGATTTTTGTGGTTAGTCATCTGGTATAAAACAGCTGTGCAGTTGTGTAAGACTACTTAAATACTATTTAGATATCACAATTTAGAATACATTTTTACCTGATAAATCACCATTTCAGATTTCACTTTCCTCTCAAAAAGTCGGGTTAAGGCTTCATCAAAAGCCTGTGTGGAATCCTTGATGGAAGACTGCAGTTTCTTCATTTCTGCTTCCAAAGCCTTAAACCAATCAGAAACAAACATGAGATGTATGTTAAATCTGTAATTGAATATATCCATTATGGACTACTTTAATGAGTAATGATATTTATGTGATATCATTAAAAACAGCTGTAGTTTTAGAAAATGACATTTATTTCTTGAATTTTCTACAGGATTCCAACAATCTGGAGAAAGTGGGCTATGTTTTTGGTTTGTAGAATAGTATTCAGTGGCATAAATCAATACTATGAAATGTTTAGAAGACTTTGTTCTTTCACCAGAAAAGTTTGCCTTGCTGTTTCATATAAAATAGCCTGACGAGTTCAAACCCTAAATAATTAAGTATTTCAAAATAAGGCCTATATGATGACACAGATTGCTTAGAGGCAAAGAAAACTGTCTCTTCAATATATTTTCAGGTAGTTTGCTATTATACATGTATAGAAATATTTAATGTGCTCTTAACCCCACATACCCTAAAGTATATGATTTACAATATTGAGACTGTGTGATTTTTTTATGTTAACCTACATACGCTGCATTGATTAAAACAAACCAGGTGTCAGCCAATGGATTCAAATTTCCTATTTAAAAACTCAGATCCCTAAATCCTAGCCCTTAGCTGAAACTGTTATGGGTTCTGTAAGTTTTATACCTTGCGATATTTTTCCTGTTCTTCAAGCAGCTCTTTCACTTTCTTTTCATACTCTTTAAAGCACTTCTTCTCCTCTTCAGTCCATTGCAGGTCTGGTTTAGACATAAACTCAGGCTGTGGAATCTCCTGTGACATGACAGGGCAGGGAAACCATGGAATGAGCAAGAAACTAGAGAACTTTACCCCACCAGGCATTATGTTTATGTCATGGTTTACTACTTGAAATAAAAATTAGTTTTCTTTATACAGTTATGTTAAAAGTCCAAAAGCAAATAATCTTTTTCTGCTCCTTAACAAACATTCTATACAGTTGAAAATACACAGATAGCAACCAAAACCTAAAACGATATAAAGATTAAAGCCAGAAAATAAAACTCATTTTATTAAGCAATTTCCAAGAAAATCAGAACAAAGAACTGCACTGTTCTGCATAAATATTTGCATCTATTATGGAGATCATAGACAAAGAGCTTAATATTTTTAGACAAAAATATTCCTATACTTCTAGTATCGTCCACCGTGGCCTACATAATCACTAATGAAAAATTGTTTGAGTGTTCTTTCTTAGCACCATGTTTCAAACAATTTGGGTTCCAAGGAAATGAAAAGATTATCCTCACTGTGCAACACTCTGTACAAATAGGTACATAGTAGGTCTTAAACATCTCCCCCTTGTGTGTATAAATGTTAAGGAATCCTTCAAGGCCTTTGAGACTGAATTCAAGCCATTGAATTCAGTCACATATGAAATTGGCAACAAAATTGTTAGCTGCAATTTCACAAGCTCACAAATTTAAAAAGAGTGCCCTTTTTTCAAACTAACAGTCACTAAAAACACCATCACCCATTTGAACAAAAGTTTGAAGCTCCTGACCATTTTCAAAATGTCCTCTTTTTTTACTTCCAGGACTCCTCCCATCATGTCATCCAGGGCTCTCTCTCTGGCATTGTCACCCTACAGGGAGAGAAGATTGTCGTTGAACTGTACCACGTCAACACTGTCTTCAGTTCTGCTTCACCACTCAGATCCTACTGCAGAATCTGTACCCATTCACATCTAAGAAAGTGCCAGCAGGCTTTTTAAAGCATTATAATCTAGTGTTATTTTTATTAAGAAAAGATTGTGCTAGAAACTGTCTTCCCCTGTTTCACTTTCCAAAATGCAAAACAATTGATATTGTTCTGTGTTTGGTTGGGTATCTATGAAATGCAACAAAGGACTGGTTTTTAAAATCTAAAATAACTAAGTGCAAGTGTGAGATTGTTTTATATCATTTAATTCCTTTTCCCTTATCAATTTAAAATGACTATATTTTTATATTTCTTTCTCATTGGAGTTCTGTGCCAATTCATTTGCTTTGCAGAAAATACTGTAATTGTAAATGTAATTTTGAATATTTGCCTTTGGGTTTTCCAAATTAGATCTTTTTTTCCTAAAAGAAAAGCTTCTCTGTACTCCTAATTCATGTGTGGCTTACCTTAGAAGCCAGTCTTTTTTGTTCCTCAGTCTTGGCTAGCTCCTCTGCTTTCTGCTTCTGTTCTGGGGTGAGGTATTTTTCAACTTTAATCTGGAAAGATAATAACACATCAAATTAAATTAGTCTCTTCAAATACTATAAATCATAGACCGATATCTGATGAACCCCTGAAGCTAAACCAACTTCAAAACACTTTATACAATATGTAATGAAATAAGACTTTTTAAAAGCAGTATTCAGTTATGTCTTATATTCCCATTAAAAACAAGATCAACAAAGATCAGAAGTTTATGCTTTTGGTTATGTTTTAATCATATGAGTGTTACTGGCTAACTGTTGCTCAATAGATACAAGAGATTCATCCCCTAATCAAATGAAATTCTTCTGTTTTTTGTACTGTGAAAATTGCAGATGAAAAAAAAAATCAGACATTTGAGTTAGCCTTCAACAGTTCCCTAACATGCCTCATACAGCAGGTAGGATTTTGAGATCTTTCCAGACTAACCAATGCAAAGACAATGGAACAGTGGGTCAGCATTTATGTGGCATTTCTTGTGAGTACACAGGCAGTCCAGTCCTGCCTGGGAAAATGAATGATCCAGCTGACTGGCAGAATTTGAGTTTCAATTTAAATCTTGAGTACTCAATTACAGCTATCAACCCTAATTGGCTACTAATAACAGGCTAGATTCCAACTACAATTTTCAAGGTGTAGGTCTGGCACAGTTCAATGCCAAGGACTTACCGGCTGCCAAGTGAAGTATCATTTTCTGTGAATAACATTTGAGTTTGACTTAAAGAATAACAGCTGATTCCAGCTGTGCTGTGAACTGGCTAAACTGAGTTGGCATTCTTTAAGAGGTGGAAATGCACTATAAACAACAGCAAGTTTAACGGCACACAACTTATTACCTCTGCATCCTCCACTGTGAGAGCCCTCTCGGGCCTCTCACTGTAAGACAGAGTTGGTTCCCACAGTTTCTCTTTCAGGTCCAGTTCGGCCATGATCTCCAGAATCCTCTTGTTCCTGTCCATCACCCGGTTTATCTCCTGCTCCTTCTGTTTATACACAGCACTGAATTCCTTGTTGAAGGCAGTTTTAATGTTGTAAATGACGTCCTGGGGGGCAAAAAATGGATTTCAGTAAAATATTTGTCTTAATAAAACCCCAAATGTTAAAACATTGGAAACATTGAACTCCTGAATGGCCTTTTTGCAGTGAATTGTGCTCAGATAAAATATATAGCCAAAGCTGAGATTCCAATTTATATTTTACTGGCGTGAGATGCCGTGGTTGAGTTCTATGCAAGAGGATCTGAAGGCCGGTGGTTCATTGCCATACCTGAAGGAGAATTATCTGGTTGATTTTTTGCTCCCTGGTGTGCAGTTCAAACTGGCTGTAGAGGTGAGGGTTGAGGCCGCCATACAGAGCACTCAAACTGCCCATGAGAGCAGGACTCTCAGCAACTTTCCCCCCCTCCTCATCTCCTTCCTCCTCATCCCTCTCTGATGCCCCCATAGATCGGCTCTCCAGGATCTCCTTTCGGATCTGCATTTATGGCAGTACATAAGAGAACATCAGATCTATGAGTTCATCTCTCACGAATGCCCTTCAATTACTGTAAGTAAAGCCTAACCAAAATTGCGCTACTTGTCCCAAACGTGTTTAGTGATTGAAACAATGCTTTTGAATAACAGTGTGCACCGTGACCAGACAGTACAAACTAGTTGACATCATAAATAATAGCCTTTAACTTAAAACACAAAATGGAAAATGCTAAAATGAAAGATATCTTGTCATTGGTTTGTAAGGTTTTTAAAAACTGTTGGACATAGCAAATAAATGAGCATAACAGTATCTAACAGTATACAGTTCTATCTGATAGAAAAATGTATAGTTACAGGATTGCAATTTAAAAGTTGGTGGATCCTCTGTATGCTATGCAGGGGTAAATAGTTAATGAGGGTGTAAATTACACTGAGGTCAGCCTGTTCAATCTTTCTCAGACATAGAACTCTCTCCAACTCCTCCACTTCTTTGGGTGTGCGCTCCTTCATGGGGTAGTTCTTCACCTCATGCTCTGTGTGGAAAGCCTAAAGCAGGGACCAGGATTGGTTAAATTACACCCTTATCACCTCACACAGCTTATTCTAATACATTCAAACACATAAAGGTTTATTCCATGCTGAAAAGAGCTCAGCACACCTGAAGAAGGCCCCACTGCCGAAACGTTGTCTTTCTTTTCTTCTCTTTTCAGCATGGAATAAACCATTACTTGTTCCTTTGCAGCCTATGTTTGCTGACACAGCTACCTACACTAGTAAATGTTTTGCTTACTCATTCTATGACACCAGAAACCCGGTCAAACTGAAAAACAATTTAAAGTCTTAAAAATATAAATCCAGCATAACAGATTTGTTATAACAGTCAAAATAAACTTCAATACAAGACTAGGTTTGAGAACACTGTACACTGTAACCTTTCTTACTCTAAAGCTCTTCTAGATACCTTAATGGCCTGCCCTTTGACCTTCATGGAGTCCCAGCATTCCTTTTTGATTACATCACGTAGGTAGCACTTGGCTAGGTTCTCCAGTTCAATCTCATTACGGACCTTACAAGTAGAGAAAAGAACCATTAAAATTTTCAAAACAAAAATAGTTGAGCAGGGACCAGAAAAACCTGCATTCTCATTTAGAATTACATTAGTTTAAGGAATACTAGTTTATACTAGTCTCCTCCCCAATGATAGCTGATGTGTGGTGAGCGTTCTGGCGCACTGTGGCTGCCGTCGCATCATCCAGGTGGATGCTGCACATTGGTGGTGGTGGAGGGGAGTCTCCATTACCTGTAAAGCGCTTTGAGTGGAGTGTCCAGAAAAAGCGCTATATAAGTGTAAGCAATTATTATTATTATTATTATTATTATTATTATTATTATTATAATTATTAGGTTTTTTTAAGTACTGCACCACTTATCAAAGCAAAACTATATAAATAGGTATAGAAAATATTGATCCCCATTGTACATATTTTGCCACATTTTGTTGTATTATAACTAGAAACTTGATAGACTTTCTTATTTTTAAAATATGTACATTTAAAAATAAAAAAAACTAAAAATATATTCACCTCCTTAGCATTAACACCTCTTAATAAGCTCTGCCTCAACCAGTTGCCTTCAGAATTTGTACAATATGTTGATTGGAATCCACCTGTGTGCAATTAAAGTAGTTAACCATCCAGATTGAATGGACTTGTCTTTGTAAATTTAAATTCACCTGTCTGTGTGAGTTCCCATGGTTGGACTTTGCATACAAAGCAATATGAAGACAAAGGAGCATCTACAGAATTGTAGACAGACACAAGATAGATGTGGAAATTAAAAGATTTCAAAGGCTCTGAGTATCCCCCAGAACACTGTTAAATCAATTCTCAGGAAGTAGAGGACACATAAAATTACTCAGAATGTTTAACGACCAGGGCGTCCTCCAAAAGCTTGGCATTTGCCAGCCTGGCAAGAAGGATATTGGTCAGCAAAGTAGTTAAGACACCAAAAACAACTTTCAAAGACCTACAATGTGTCATAATTGAGATGGGAGAAACTGAGGGTGAGTCAACAATAGCTCAGGTGCTCCACAAATCTGGTGGAGTGGTAGAGTGGGAGGAAGCCATTTTTGAAAAACACTCATCTGGAATATGCAAAAAGGCATCCAGGAGTCTCTGACTGGAAAATGAGCATTAATTAATGGAGCAGAATTAATAGAGCAAAATATAGGAAGACTGTTCCAGGTTATGCTCCAAAGTCTACAAAAGATGTGAATAATGGACAGAGGAAACATATTTCAACAGGACAATGACCACAAACACAAAGCCAAAGGAACCTTTTAGTGGCTTAAAATGAAGAAGGTAGAAGTGCTTGAGTGTCCCATTCAAAGTCCAGAGTTAATCTGTGTTCCATAGATAATCTGTGGGAGGAACAGGAACTGAAGTTTGCTATACACCACCACTGCCCCAGTAACTTGCAACAGCTAGAGCAATTCTGCAAGGAAGAGTGAGTGAAAATCAAACCTCCAAGATGTGAAAAGCTGGTTACAGTATACTGCAAAAGATTTGAGGCTATAATTGCTGCAAAAGGGGAAGCAACTAGTGCCCTCAGAATTTGCTTGAGGTCTCAGGGGGGTGAATCCAAGCTATATTTTTCTTTTTATATATATATTAAAAGCCAGTTACAAAGGTGAACATGAGAAAGGTTACAAACCTGCAGAGGCCATTCAGCCCAAAAAGGCCATTGGATAGTTAGTAGTTAATAACAGAAGAAATAAAGAAATGTTACAGATGAGAGAAGGTTCTGTACATGGAAACTAGATGTTAACACATACAGGAAGCCAATGAAAGTGATCTTCTTAAAAGGAAAAAAAATGTTTGCAAAACATTACAGTGTAATGCCAAACTGCATAATTCTGCAAAACAGTATTAGTTTCAGTCCTTTTGGATTTCTTATATAATTTAAGCCTAGATGAACATGCTCATCATGCCTCAACATTGCACAGCTTATTTTCCTTTTACCTTGTTGACTTCTTCCTCTCCCTCGGCTTGCAGCCTCTTCTGTTCTTCAACATCCAGGTTAAATTCTTGCTGCTCCAGCTTCTCTATCTCAGGCAGGGATTCATTCTCACGCATCATTGCCTGTATCTGCAAAAGAAAAAGAAAAAGATTGTAAAACAAGTTCTAAATTGGAGTAAACACTATGTACTGAATATCATACGAAACATATTACTTTACTTATGTAATTTCGATTATTCAATCATTAATGACTTACTTTAATACATTTAAGTGACTGTGTTGTAAAAGTACTACATTACTTCATTAGTGAGAGAGCTGATTGGGTATAGCTGATGGGGAAATTTAACCTGGTGATTTTTAAGGTTGGTGAAAATCAGGAAATAACTGCACAGAAAAGAACGAACTAAAAGCTCCATTACCATCAAGAGATCACGGTAAGAGAAATGACATGAGATGGCAAATGGCATCCCACAAGGTAGCATCTGCATCCTGATGTAAAACATGCATCACAGATCTACAACATACTGTATATTGTTTTGAAATGTGGCCACACATGCTATACTAGTCTTCTAGTCTGACTTTCACAGTAGACCTTCTGTTCCTTATTCCTGTTGATGACAAATGATAACCAGCGTTCTGAGTTTACTTGTCATGTCGGTTTAATAAAAAGCTTGCTTACTGTTTTGCGCAGCTGCTTGATGCCTTTTCTCAGACTTTTTTTCTTTTCTGCAAACTGCTGGCTCTCCTCTTTGATTGCCTGTAAGAATATAAAATGGATGAGTAAATCATCAAGCATGGATGTGACACAAGAACTTCCAACAGTTTATAACTTTTATCAGTTTTTAAACAACTCAATTAGGTTTTGCGTTGATCAGGAATCTAGTAAAAGCTTATGTTTGTATAGAATAAACCAAAGGGTTCTCTAAATTCTAATAATGTAGTCACCTAGTCAAAAAGAGGTTAATTTCTTTTTAACCTCTGTTCCTCATTTGGACTGGTCTACCCACCACCACTCATAACTTGATAAATACCCTGCAGTCATCTACTGTTGCAGCCCTGTTCTAAGGAAAATACCTTCATGTGAAATATCAGATGGGGCTCTTAATAAATTTCTGAATAGTTATGCAATCAAAATATTTAAGTGTTTGATTTTGTGTTCAGTTTGAGCATTAAAGATTTAATTAACATTATTCACTTTAAAAATATGTATACATATAAATATATTTTTTTTCTCATGTTTTTCATATGCAATAGTATAACATTTACAAATTCTGAAATTCCAAATTCCTGTTTGTTTTCCAATCTCAGGAAAATTATATTATTTTGCTCCAGAGAAAAACGGATCCTGTGTTACATACATTCAGTACAATCATTCTTACATTATTCTGTTTCCCTACATTTTCTAAGGAAGCCTATCAAACTATGGTGCACAGTGTGAAAAGTCAATATATCTTAATTAGTATCACAGAGACTGAAAACAAAAATTGTCTAAGCTTCTATTTTGATATCCTTTTGCTATTTTGCTATCAATACAAAGGTTTCCAAATCACTATATCACTAAAGGTTTTGAAATCACTATATAGGCAACACAAAGGCTACAGAAAGAAGAATTGAGCTATTGTCAGGCTGACCTCCTCCAGTTTTTGATCAAGCCAGGTAGCATCTGCAGGTGAGACAGAAGGGAGGCTGGTGTAGCTCTCGTCCTGCTCAATCAACTCCACACTCAATCTCCTGGAAGTGGCCTAATGAACAAAAGTGCTAGAATCAAGGCTAATCAATATGGCAGCTTGATCATTAAACCACATCAAACAATGTGTTGTATTAGCAGAGGATGTTCAATAATGATGATCAAAAACTTTCCATACTTATGGAAAGTTTCTGTGTGTTTCCTTGTAAGTGTAAAGAAAAACAGTTGCCTTTCCACGTGTTGCTTTACAAGTGTGGTAAAGTGCTTCAGAGTGATTTATGCTCTGGGAATTCCCCATATTAGGTAATGCCTCAGCCAGAAGCTTGATTTTCTTTTTTTATGATGCTTGAATACAATTCCATTAGTGACACACTCAAATGCATTAATATAATAGGCTGCTGGTGCACAAACACCCATAATTTACAAAGTGAGGAGTCATTAAAATGTTCACAGCAGATGTGTTACTTTGTGCAAGCTGTTTTTAGGGCGTGAGACAACCCGTTAAAGACGAACATGTACTGTATACTTACAGATGTGTGACATCCACTTACAGGATGTAAGCAACACTTTCTTCTTGAATTATTTTGCATTTCAGTATTGCACATTTTGTATTATACCACACGATGCTGCAGTGACCAGCAGTTTACAAATAAGCCAGAGCACATACTGTTTATGCAGGCATAAAAAGATGCTGCCCTCAGGCTCCTTGAATGCACAGTGTTATACCTCTTCCTGCTGCTCCTGAAGTGTTATTCCAGTGGGTGACTGGGACTCATGGATCCATGCAGGCAGGTCACTGAGAGCCGTGTTCTCTGAGGCCATCATGGGGTCCAAAAGGGATTGCATGGAACGTGCATGCTCCGTTGCTGTAGTTGCTTTGTTCATACCGGCTGTCTTAAAACTGCATTAAACATAATAAAGATACTAAATTATATAGAGCACTGATTAAGGTGAGGGTTGACATACTGTAGGAGCATGTAATGGGTATGAATGGGTATGAATATTGATTAGCTCTTTGTCCTATCACAATGCTAGAGGAGACAGGACTGTCTTACGCCTTCTCTTTCTGTCGTCTGCACATCTAAAATGAAGCCGTCACTCTAATTCATATACTGTTTATGTACTCTTGCGGCACTAGTCACAGTTACAGTAGCTATGTAATGCTGATGACCCCTAAAAAGGGAGAGCCAGCTGTCTGGTATAACCTAAACTTTATATTTGTAAAAATGTGGAGTCAGAGATCATACAAAAGTCTGCTTTCTGTGGAATTAAGATTGGACAGACTGATAAGTAATATTCATAACCACAATAGATAGACAGATGAGTGGAAAGATGTAGAGACAGATAGATTGTAATATGCTACAAGAACCTCTGTGCTTCCTTCAGACATTTACACAAGCTGTCCTGTCAGCACCTGCAAGTAATTATACTACCTATATAAATATTTCATCAATTTAGAACAATGTATTTAAAAACAGAACAAATGCAAAGTCTGTGCTAGTAAACCTTTTAACAGCACTATGTTTCTAGAAGAGTTGTTTTTTTTTGTAAGTATTTTATATTTGCTTTCCATAATAATTATCAAAAGACATTTTCTTTTTTTAATAATACAAACAGACCAAAGGCAACATATGCGGAACTTGCCCAGTTCATTTAACAGAATACAGTGACTCCATTAACAGTAATCCCGTAATGACTGGAAAAAAAGGTTATAGAATGTTTTTGATGAAAATTTACAATATGTTCACTAGGGATGTGATCAACAGGAAAGCATTGTTTCTCCACTTCATTCATTCTCTGGCATGTGATCAGGTCTATGCTAGTTAAACATGGGTGGAAATTGCATCCTTCTTGTGAAATTATTATTATTCATTCTCTGTAGTGCCAACTTTTTAAAAACATCTTATTAAAATGCTTTGAGGGCCTGCATCACAAACGTACCTGAGCTGGACACAGACAAGAGCCCCATCTGTGAGGCCTGTGGTAATAAGTGTCTGACTGTCTTGAGAGAAGGAAACTGTCCGAGCCCCAGCTGTCCAGCAAGAGTGGCACTGCATCTGGAGGTACTTCTCCTGTTCAAACATAGACATACAGTATTAAAAGCTGGAAACTCCAAGCTACTTTATAAATGACTTAGGAGTCTGTTATTAGACCTGAAAATAACCCGTTATTATCATAACTGCTAGCAATGTATCACATTACCTGCCTGTCATTATTTTCCCCTTTACATAGACATTTTTTTTTGTGCAGAATGCAGTCTTTCATTTGAGCATTAAAAGTCAATTTCTCAATCACTGCATTCAGCTCCCAACCGGCCCCGTATGCTAGGAAAGCAAATTAAACTTGCTCTTTAATTGCTTCTAAATTCTACTTCTAAATTTGGATTTTAGAAATCTTATTAATTCCAGTCATTGCAATCATTTTAGCATTCTTTAAATGTTCTTTTATATTTGTAGGGTCCACAACTGTCGGCTAAGCTGTTTTTCAAACTCCTACCATTAGAGATGTCTCTCTGATATGCAGCAGTCCGTCCCTGCCTACGGACGCCAGCCATTGCTGGTGGGGAGACAGGAGGAGAGAAGCCGGACCAAGAGGATGTCCTTCAACTTCCTTCTCTGGAGTCAGTAACACAACATCTTTAGCTTTTGCACCCCCCTAAGAAAAGAAAATGTTCCTAAATCAGATGAATTCACTGTGAGGAATTTCTGAATTGTATTTATCTTCTGTGAATAAAAACTATGTGCATAGAGATGTCTTCAGTACAACATATTTACTTAAATAATTACATCTTAATTTAATTTAAAATAAATTAATTAAAATAAATCAATCTGGATGCTCCAGTAAAAATGACGAGGTTGATTACAGAATAAAGAAAATCCCCATGTTACACAAACAAATAAAATACTGTATATACAACTGATTAACAGGTACCTCTGTCAAGAGGAATTTCTGAATGGACTTTGTCCTGTTGCAGTACCCATAGGCCCTATTGTTAGGTCCCAGGACTACAGAGGAGAGAGGTTTGCCGACTTCATAATGACGTTTTTGCAGAATCTCATCCTTTAAGCAGCCACGCCGGTCAGCACAGCCCGCAGCTCCTTACAGGGGGACAAGTAAAGGGAGTGACTCACTGCAAGATGTGCATTGGTAACTTCAAAAGGCTAAAAAAGCTAAGAAAATACTTTTATTATTTTATCTCCCTTTTTATTAATAAATGGATTTTAACAAAAAACAGTTAAGAAAAAAACTGTCATTAACTTATTATTAATGGGTTTAAGTAGGGGTTTTGTCTTCTGGGGCTGTGCGCATATTCGTGTGAGCCTTGAAGATGACATTTGTACTTCACATACTGTACAATTAGTTGAAGGTGTGTAACTCTGAAACATCAAAGTTTGGTTTTTCAATGATTCAAGTGTTTTGTAAAAACTTCAGCTGAACCTACAGAAAGTGATGAGATCATCCATGAATAACATCCCTATGACTTCCAGCACCATGCTTTACATTTAGACAGGAAGCATATGCAGAGGTTTTACTGTATTATAGAATGTTAAAAATGAAATGAATAACAAAACAATTCTAAAGAGACACACCGCTATTTTCACACTTGAAATCAAAGAAGGAACCAATCAGAAATATCTGTCTTTACCTATCATGAGTTGAGCTTGTAGTACAAACATTTCCAGATGGCTCTCTTCCTTCATGCCTTCTTGTTTATTCACAGCAGACAGCACTAGGACTTTCGCGTGCTTGGTCTCCTTGTTGTAATGAACAGACAGATCTACAACAGAGCCTGCTGCCTCTGAAACGGGATCACACAGCTATTTAGTTTTTCCATAAGTGGTCAGATTGTTTTAAAATGCAGATATTCTAAAACATTTTCTACATTGCATTACTATAGTGATGGACCAATAATGTTGACTTTTTATAGAGATTTGTGTTTTACTTAATCAAATAATTGCTTTTTACTTTGTTGTGTTGATTGTGAATAGAATAGAATAGAATAGACCTGTGTATCCAATAACTTCGAACATTTTGGATGGCCTGGCATCCAACACAAATATATACGAGTCTGAAGCTCCACTGAGAAGAAAAGTTCCTCCCTGGTCATACCTGTAAAAAAAGAGAAATAAAGACTGGAACAGGACTCATCTGTGAAGGGTTGGAAGTCTGTGTATAAGATGTCTTCATAAACACACTATTTACTGTACTGTACACTTAAGTTACTGTAAATCTTACACAAAAAAAGCAGAGAGACTTGAAGACATACTTTTGTATCTTGCCATATTATTTCAGAGCAAAAATTATTATTTGGCTGTGTTCGTTCACTAAGGTCTGGATTAAACCACCCACCAATTACCGTCACTAATATAAACCTAGTATTGTACCTGGATTTGTCTTTTCAATGGGTACAAGCAAGATACAGTAACTCAAACAAACAAAAAGACCCTACCAAGCACTGGGTTTGTGTTTTGTACCTTTGGTGAAAGTATTCACTAAATCTAATAAATAAAACTTTATGAAACGTTGTTTGTGCTTTACATAGTTCTTTCAAACTTTTCATCAAATGTAAAGGTAAATGTAATATTCATTTAAAAAATGGACAACCCTCCATTAAACATGTAAATCCGCATCATTTAAAGTTATGGTCCTTTATTTTCTCACACAACATTCTTACCTGATACATTAATATGTATAAAAAATATAAGGAATAAATACTAAATTTAATTAAAAGTAGCATTTCTTTACAGCATTCAGATAAAACATATTCTGATGCCAAATGAAGACATTAATGTCTATATTTTAGATCAGTAACGCAATGGGCACATACATTTCATTTCATTTTTAAATGATGAGCACATAACATTGCTGATTATTTCTGTCACTGTTCCTTGGGACAACAAAATATAAATCTCAAGTCATGTACTGTATACTCACAAAAACACCATGTGCTCAGTGCATTTTAAAAATTGTTAAAATTGACAACATGGGATGATTATGAATCAACATAAATACCCCTTCAAAAATACATCATTTTAATTAATACAAGAATAGTAAAAGATAAAATCATGTCCCATCTTAGAAATTAACCAAGCAAGGCAAAGGCCCGGAAGAAATGTGCATTCATGCATGGAATGACTGTATGACTGTAGTTCTGTAGAGTGACAGACTGTAGACAGACTGTAGAGGGACAGAGTGACTGTAGTTCACCACCTCCATGCTTGGAAGGCATTCAGTTTTCATAGAACAGAAGATAGAGTATGTGGAGAAAATTCGTTGTCAATGTTGTGCTGATAGTTTTGTTGTTAAACCAGCTGGTGGAGTGGTGGACATGTAAGAGTACACAGTGCTAGGATTATTCAGCTCCACTGACTCATACCAACAATACCAAGATCTTGCTGTAACCAGCTTTTTCACCTGTGTCTAACAGAACATCTGTAGAACCAACTGGCCAATGCTCTGAACAGGAGACCACCACAACCAGCCAACCCTCCCTAGCTCAATGCAGCTGCACAGGAGCAATGGCAGAGTGTAGTGGAGCTAGTTCAGACACAGTGACGTCATCGCCCTCCCTGCACATAGCAGGGACCTCAGCCACCTGGGCTGAGGGAGGTCTCCTTTAGCTCATTTGGCTGGTTCCCTGTTGCCTTACGCCAGAGACCCGGGTTCGCGCCCCAGGTGTTGCAGGACGAACTGGCAGGGTGGAGCAGCAAGGGCATAAGCCCGCGTGGAACCGCGACGGTCACAAAAGCATCCTAACAGCTGTCAAATCACACTGTACATTTATACCTCAACGCTGCCAGGATTGTGTTCATGCTCAGATCATACTCAAACTACTAACTATACTATACTTTATAAATATTTTCATTTTGACAGTATGTCATATTAATCCCAAAAACATAAAATGATTCTGTGCTCTGTTTCTGTGTTGACATTTTCAGGGGTTTCTTTTTTGTTGAATATCAAGTTTTAAAATACCAGTTTTAATTCCCTAGACATGATACAGTGTTTCTTCATGAAAAAGGAGTCACCACAAATAAAGACGCACTGGAGGTGTTCCACAGGCACATGGTAGAGGTGAACCCTGTGAACTAGTCGTGGAAGGTGCTCCTGGGTCAGGTCTATGAAGCAGATGTGCCCGGAGGCTGTCCCCACAGCAGCACACTGTGCAGCTGGGCAGCACGTCAAGCTTGTTGCCTGCATTCAGAGTCAGAAAGAATAACATGGTGTGGCAAAAGAGCAGACTTGGAATGAACCACCAAAACAAGCAGATGTCTGTGTCATATCTTAAGAGCTGACTTTTATTTTGCTGTTGTTTTCTATAAACAAGTTTTTATTTATTATAAGCTTTCTTTCTTAGTATACTGTAAGAGTTGTGCATTTTTTGTATTTCTTAAATAAGCCTTTCTAATCCATGACACTGCTACATGTTAATATTAATGACACTGTACCTAGCATACTTTTAGGATTTTCTTTTTTAATTATAACAATTTTTGTTATTTTAATTATAACAATTTTTGAAGTTGGGTTTTTTTTTTTGCTTTAATCATTGCATGTTATCTTGTATAAAGATGTTTAATTATCATTGTCTTTCTTCTGATTGTTGATTATTGTTATTTAAAAAAACACTATGTTATAAAGAAGACGTTAATGCAAAAAGTTTTTACTGACTAGAAATAAGAAAGACTGGATATTTACCTTGCCTGTGAATAAACACATGCCATGTTGAAGCTCTAAATTTATATGCATGATCTGTAGTTACTGCATGGGGAGTTGATACTGTTACAGTTACTGCAATCGACTAAATAACAGTTTAAATTGTTTGCTCATTAGAAATTCATAAACACCCTACAGTACCATACTCCTACAGAGCAAAAGCATCCAAATCCAGAATGAAACGGGTTCTGTATGTTGCATGTAACTGAGATCTTCATATAGTCTCAAATTACTTTTTGATAGATTGGCCCTACATGTTAAAGCATGACTTCTAACAGTTTTTTTTTTGAGTGCTCACAATTTAAAGCTTAAAAGAAATGTTTTTAATAGAAGTATCTGCTAGGCACACACATTTTTTAAGCAATTTAACTTGCTTCAACAGGTGTTGCTAAAATGATCTCAAGCTGACCTAATAAATAACAGATCTTGTCATCTGATTTAAGATCCATCAGTCTGAGTAATACCTCTGAGTACAGTATGTAAGGCTCTAATTTTTGAAGGATTACTTTATATACCTTGTATGGGTAGTAAGATACTCAATGTTAGGTTAAAGGTTATTCACATGCCTGCTAAAGTCTGTTGATGCAAGTTTTTAATTACACCCCTGCCATTATGGGGAATTCCATTCTGAAGGTTTTCAGAGACATACTGTCAACTAATATATTTGAACTTTTATTGCTTACTTGTAGTTGTAGTTAGCAAAATGATTTTATCTTCAAATTGTACTTCTGCATTTATACTTTAAATATGTACTGAGATGTAACTGAAACAGTTGTCATATTTTAACACTTTTATTTTCTCCTCCTTATTCATAAAAAATAAACAATACATACAGTACCTGCACTTGTAGACTTAAAGAGCTGATGCAGCTGCCATCTTTCATTGACCAAACCTGCAGCAGCCCGGAGTCTCTGACTGACTACCATTCAGAAATGGAGAGGAAAAAAAATATTATAACACAGTAACATCTTACACTGAACAATGAACATTCTAGTTTTCAAACTAAAAAGCCATAACTACATCATACAAAAATCAGACTTTCTATATTTCAGCTTTGACCCCTGACAGATCATTAGAAGCAAACACCTGGGAATTTCGAGCTGGTTTTTTATTTTATTGTATGTTTACCAGCTTAAGTTCAGTTTGCTTGAACAATCATAACCTTCTTGGGCCTATAGTGTAGCCATGAATCTGGGGTCTGGACAATGAGTGGGCAAGGATTAGCAAATTGTCTTTCCACACGCTTGTGTTTCAACCTTTGAATCCCCAACAGATGTTGCCTAAGATGATGTTCTGTTGCCATATAAAAAGGGTTATTTAAGGTACGTCAGGCAGGATTGTTAGATGAATCCTTAAGGTGAGTGAAAAAGAGATAACTTTGCTGTGAATATGTTACCACACAGAATTTGCTGCTTGGATACAGGGAGGCTGCAGCCACAAAGTCTCCAGTGAGAACATCCAGCACTCTGGACATCTGCCCGGGTTGGCTGGGGCTGTACCTGTATAGATAACCCTGGAAATAGAAGGAATGAGCATTTCCCTTACAATTCATTGCCCTTGTCAAGTATACTATAGGTTTACTACATAAATGCACACTACCTTGGAACTAGAGCAGGTCTCACCTGCAAGATTGAGAGAAATTACCAAAGCTTACCCAAGCTTGCCAACACCTACCTGCATCCTAGGCAGATTGTCAAAAGATTGAAATAATACCTCCACCAAATTTACTGCTTCCAGACAAACAGGCAGGGCACAGGCCACTCTTGTCATGAATCTACAAACCCAATCCATTACATCGAAAGAAAATGTCCTGCTCATATATTATAATTTAATATATAAGTACGGTGTTTTCCTATGTAATTTATTATCCTCATCATTAGAAATTAAATCATTTCTGTAAAGAAAAAAATAATATTTTTGTCCACTCTAACACTGTATGAGTCGTCGCCACAATCAAATGCATGAAGACATCCTTTTTCAGCAGAAATAATCTCGTTACTTTCCTAATACTTATTTTAACCACCAGGAGTCATCCTTAGACTGCTAAAGTCAGTTGAACTGTTCAGTACTGTGCTCCAGGAAAATAACCGCTTTGTTATATCATACAGAAATCTATTCAACTTGTATCGGTAAGAAAGATTATTTGCTACAATTTGTTTTAGGTAAAGGTCATTACACTTACATTACTTGTAGTCAGAACCAGAGACTCGTAGTCAGGGGAGAATTCAATGGTTTGTATTGGCTCCTCAGTTTTGCAGCACTGGGTGACTTTTACAGTTTTGCCTTTGATGCGTAAGCAGCGTAAAACACCATCCTGTTAGATAGGTAAACAATAATATTTATTTGTATATTGAGAAGCTCATCAAACTTATCCTTGACATAGAGTTTCTCTCAGACTAAGACTTGTTTGTATTTAACATACTATGACATATATATGTCACTGATCAAACAGAAAAAAAACAATCGTCAGGGACACCCTAAGCTATCTCTTATGAGAATGCTATATCACATATCTTTAACAAATATTTCCTATGTAATATTCATATCTTCCTGCCGACATCTAAGCTTTAATTTCCAATGATTAAGTGGTACTGTGTAGAAATATTCACAACCAGAAGAGGTAAAAAAAGAATTAAAATAATCAATGTCCACATAAAGCCCCATTCTTACATTTCCTGCTGCAAACAGGCCGTCCCTGTATAAAGCCAAGCTGTTGAGGTCACCTTCCTGTAGAACTTCGCTTTCTTCACCATCTAGATCATGAGAACAACAGCATGGCACACAAGAAACTCTGAGAGAAAGCTAAAAGGGCAATATCACCTATGTTCACATAGGAGGGATAAGCAACATACTGCAAATAAACTAGGCAGCAGCATGGAAAACTACTTCCGACTCCAGATTGGAGCCTTATGTGTCCTAATCCTAGTTAGAATGTCTTTGGGTGTCACAGTAAATTGACCTACAGTACATGTACCTAGTAAACGAAAGACCTAAAAGACCTAAAAAGTGCTTTACATATTAAACATATACTATGAATATTACATGTGAATATTACATATCAAATAATAATAATTGCTTACACTTATATAGTGCTTTTCTGGACATTCCACTCTCCTCCACCATCACCAATGTGCAGCATCATCGGCAGCCATAGTGCGACAGAACGCTCACCACACATCAGATATCAGTAGGGAGGAGAGCAGAGTAATGTAGCCAATTCATAGATGGGGATTATTAGGAGGCCATGATCGGTAAGGGCCAATGGGAAATTTGGCCAGGACGCCAGGGTTACACCCCTACTCTTTTGAGAAACGCCCTGGGATTTTTAATGACCACAGAGAGTCAGGACCTCAGTTTTACGTCTCATCCGAAGGACGGCGCCTGTTTACAGTATAGTGTTCCCATCACTATACTGGGGCATTAGGACCCACCTGGACCGCAGGATGAGCGCCCCCTGGTGGCCCCACTAACACCTCTTCCAGCAGCAACCTTAGTTTTTCCCAGGAGGTCTCCCATCCAGGTACTGACCAGGCTCACACCTGCTTAGCTTCAGTGGGTTACCAGTTGTGAGTTGCAGGGTGATATGGCTGCTGGCTAAATAGATATGTTTTCGGAGTTTTCCAGTTGTTTATTAGCATTTCATCTTCCCCCCTTTTCCCTTCCATTTGTCTCAAAATGTGAGAGTTCTGTGCTACATTCCATCAGAAATATGATTTCATACCTCCAGCAGAATTCATTTGCTCGGGGCTGCTGAGCACAGTGACATCCTGAGATTCAGGATTCACCAGCAACAAGTGACCTTCTTCACAGCCCACACAGAGGTCAGAGGTGGCAGTCCAGCAGAAACAAGAGGGGTGTACCAGGGCCTTCATTTTCTCTATTGGCTTTTGAAAAAGAAAAACATGTGTTACTGGAGCAGGAACTACAACTTACCCAAAAAAGCTTTATGTTCTACTAAGCCCAGCAACTGCTGTTCAAGCTAAACAGGATACTAGAATGTACAGAATTCTCCAGAAGACAGAATGGTGCTATTCCAAGATCAGTAAAGATTGAAAATATCCTTGACACTTTCTAGAAGCATCAAAATACACTTCCTATCCCCTTTATTTGGATGTCTTTCTTAACCAAAGCAAAACCACTCAAAACATTTGAAACTCAATTCCTAAAACTGGAATAGTTCTTTCTCCTCTAAACGGTAATAATGAAAACTAGAGATCTGGGGCGTGTAAATGGTCCAGTTTTGTCTCCTGGTGAAAATGTACAGTAGACTGAGTACCACAAATGTCTCCACTCTTTCTCCTGTGAGCCTCCCCATGGATGAGACTGGCATCTGAGGTCCATAGTAAGTCAGTCTGCCACTGGGGACCAATGAGGAACCATCTTTTCTCTCAGGAAGACTGCCATCCAATGCTGGAAGGGGGATCTCTCTAAGGGACACATACCAGGTAATGAAAATAAATACCATTGTGAAAGATCATTCTCTCATATCTTTACTGACATTTTAGAAAATTCTGCTTGATCTTCGGTATTGAAATCAATCAGCCATTTTAAATACATTTTACATTGTCACCTATGTCAATTTGATGCTGCGAAACCTTGTCAGGGAAGTTAAAAAAGAGTACATGGCTGATTTTCCAAAGGAATCGGGTGTGTTTTTTGGATCTACATAGCCCTGTGCACTTCAAACAAAACCGCCCCTTCATTATTCAAGAATTATGTGATAAGAAGAGTAGATATTTTATCTCATAGTGTTTAGAGATTACAGAGTAAAGATGTGATAAACACTGAACATGAGTACAAAGCATTGTGTCAGTAATGGTAAAATGTACGGAGTAATTGAGGCTAGTTCAGCAAAGCAATATTTCTCAAAGCTATACCACAGGAAATGACAAGAGGCTGCTTTTTGTTTTGGGATTTACTCCTCACTCTCCTGTGCCAGCAATACATTCTGCAAAGTCTTATGCTCTTATAATAAGTAATGAAGCAAATAAAACAAAACATTTAAAAAACACTTACACAGGCTTCATTATATGAAAGTCATCACTTCTCTCAATGTTCCATACTGTAAGTGAGTTCTGGTTTGCTGCACAAAATTGGTGCCAGTTCATGGGATTAAAGACCAGGCTGGAGATCTCCTTTCCTGCCTGGGGTTTGCTGCAAAGTGCAATTCCATCTTCCCAGTTCCTGAAAAAAAACAATGCAAAAACTAATAAGATCCAGTACAGAAATTTAATCCATTAGATACAATCTTTATGTTTCAATAGGAACATCTGCCATTGTTTTTTTATGCTGTGCTACTTTTTGGACCTGATTAAGAGATAATTGCATTGGGAAGCATATACTGTACAGTAATAATTTGTTATTCCTTGATACACAGCCTTACCACATGGGCTCCAGCTTGGCTATTTTGCGTACTTTCTGGAATATGCTTAATGTTTGTTTTGATAGGCTAACCTTACAGAAATATCTGAATAATTAAAAAACAGCACTTCATACAAAGAAATACAATAACTACTTCAAGAGTAATTCACGTTGAAACTACTACTAGAAGATTTTATAGTATCTATGCAGACTTTTTATAGTGGGAACCTGAAAACTACCTGAACCATATACATACAGTAAATACCACGTTTATAGCATATAAACATTTCTAAGAACAAAGAAACAAGAACGAAAAAAAATATAAACAGAAATTTCTGTTTATATTCCTAAATTTTGCCAGCTGTAAATGCTTTCTATACAATTTTAAAAAATACCAGAACATTGCTTAGAAAAAAAATATCACACATATCTTACCATACTGTCAAGGTGTAGTCTGGAATAGAGGAGCAGGTGGCCAGATAAGGACCTGAATAGCTGAATTCAAGTGCTGTGTACTGCAGCTGGGTATTACCTACAGGCAAACATTAGATGTTTTGCTCAAGATATGAATTAGATTTATATTGTGTGTCAAATACCATTCAAATATTTACACAGAACTACAGTACTTCAGTTGTTTTTTTTTAGAAATTCCAAAGATTCCAAATGAATGCATCACTTAGGTCTACTCAAAATTTGCTATTAAGTGCTTATTGCATTTAATTGCAATTTTTTCTGCCCTACAGTTTTTAGGATTCTGTTTGATTTACCTTAAAGATAAAGCACTTACTACACAAATTATCAGCTGGCAACTGGTGTTACCCATCTAATATTAGTAGCACCAGCATTGTCCAGTATTATAATTGTAATGGTAGGTTTAAAGTAGATTAAAACGCCAATGGCACAAGACCGCACAGGTTACCTTTCATTTTGCTCCTCATGACCAGCTTGGGGTAGGTGTACACAAAGATGGATGGATTCAGCCTCGTCTCGGAGAAGGCCACCACTCTGCTGTGGCCATTGGCTGTGAAGGCCCCTATGCCCCGCCCCGGGCCCTGCAATATGCTCTTCGACTTTGACGCCAAGTCCAGGAAAACGATGAAATTCCCACAAGGGTAGCATACTGTCTTTGTGTCCACAAATCGCGTGTGTTGACTGGTGAAACCCTGCACCCATCTACCATTGACACATCAAATAATATTTTTGCATTAATATTTTTTGGGTCATACACTTATTAAAATGCCTTCAGGAGTTAGGCTTTGTATCCATATAAATATAAAAAGCAAACCGTTTCATCAATAGTTTTAAAATGTAATGCCCACAGTACTTACAGGTTCCTATTGATGAGGCATATGATTTTTAAAAAAGATTTAGCTACACATGTGTAATCTTCAAGACTCGTCTGTAATGTAGACGATTCGTACACTATTTTGTTACATTTGTCACTAAGCTTCTGTCTAAATATTTTACAGAGGGCAGGCACTTGAGCTGGTTCGAACAAAGACCTATCTTGGCTGGTCTGTTAGTGACTAATTGATTGGTTGATCTCATTCAGCAGTTTCTTGAAATAAGCCAGTATATTAACTTCAACAACATGAATGGGAAGCTTGTGACTTCTTCCCTGCTCCCACAAACCTTTGTGTAAAGATGTGCCTCTTGTTCTCAGGCACTTCTCGGCAGTGACCTCTGATTGGTGTTTCAATTTCTAAATTCAATTGGGCTGATGATGTCAATGTGTTTAAGGAACTTGAACAAGGTCTCCATGTAGTATTGTCTGCTGAAGACTGAAGTGATGAAGCTGTGAAACTGAATAACTGGACTACAGGGATCACTGTGAAAAAGTATTAAATGTACTTTGTGATTCGGACCCAAAATATCAGGTATTATTGGTTTCTTAAGAGTGAAATTGAAGCATGCTGAAGTGACACTTTCAGTTCCATCCCAGAACTATTTTTAATCACCTTGCGTAGGTTTCAATGATTGGTTGGAATGTCAGTAGACAGGTAGAAGGGCTTGAAGTGACATGTTGAGTGTTGGAGCTATACAATATATAGTTTAAATACTGTATGTGACACACAGATGCAAGAAAGGAAGGCATACAAACCCTGCGCATTCTGTTCTGCTCTTTTTTTTATAAACGATGGATTAGGGCAACACACACTTTTCATCTCTGAATGCTTTTATTTAAGTAAGAACATACGTTTCAACCTGGTATTACGTATTAATTACAAACGACAGTTGTAGTCTAAACTAATTTACGGCTAGTTGGAGCTTTTTAGATGTTCATAAAACACGCCACGGCTTTTTTTTTGCCAAATAGTTAATCTCACCTGGCTTCCAAGGACCCGTAGACTTCCATTTGACAAGATTATAAAGTCACTGCTGTCGATGATATTAGAGAGTCCCCGCTGTACGGACTAGACGATTGTCAATATGCCCTTCAACGTAAAGTTTACATGCGTTTCCTTGGTTACCAAAACACGTTTTTCATTGGCTGTTTAAAAAAGACCGCCCCTTCTTTCGATCAAGCCAATTGGCTCAATCCGATAAGTGACGTGTGTATTGAAGTCGTCATAAATAAAGGGTCAGTTCAATCATGTTAGATCAATGTTTTACAAATAAATAAATGTGTATGTGTTCGCTTGAGGTTTTATAATTAATGAATCCACGAATAAGGTTACACATTAATGTATATAAATTGTAAGAATACTTAATTTAGCTAAATTTGTCTATGTATATCTGGCACGCACTAACCAGCATATTGCATACACTCATATAGGCAGCTACATTATCAAAGCAACGTACGCACGCCTGATTCAGTCCACAGCTATAATTGTATACTGTACACTGCCGCTTTAACGACAATGACGTTACAGTGGGTGTGTTTTTAAAAACATTTTGCACGTTGAAAGGAGCATGCGTCACCTTTAGCTCTCGAAAGTGAATAAGAAAAGGTTTAGGCTCTGAATCGAAGCATTATACAGCTTTCGTTAATATCACTGAACGTTTTGATTTTCACGGTTGAAGAAGGTGTCCTAACAAAATGGCTACATCTGCAAAGTGCCTCAGCCAAGGTAATTAATATATTCATCTTAAACCCTCAGTGTAAGATTTTGCAGTACAGTGATATGAATGAATGCAGATTAATTAATGCATTTGATCTTTCTATATGTCCAGCAAAACCTCTGAAGTTTTTAATTTATTTTTTAGAATAAACGGATATTTCATTTGTTAGTTGTATTATCAAATCTTATGAAATTGTAAGTAGCTGTGTATACTGAAGTAGTTCAAGTGGGTAGCTGACACCTGAAGAAGGCTCCACGGCCGAAACGTTGTGTTTTCTTTCTTCTCATTCCAGCAAGGAATAAAACTATTACTTTTAGATGTGTATACTGTTAGGTTTGGAGACTATAAATTCCAGTGGTCTTAAAATATAAAAGTGAAAATGAAACTCTGTTCTATGTTTTAATTAGGCTGTCTCTGCAAATTAAAGATCGACTTTTAAGACAAAGGAACGTTGCAGGCTAGATTCGTTTCATGTCACGCGGCATGGAGTTAAGGGCGAGTATCCACATGATAAGAAAAAAGCATTTTGCTTAGTCACTGTAAAAACAATGCATGTGACTTAAACACGCAAACCAACGACTGTAACGATACTGCTGCTAAGCAATTGCAAAACAACTGGTAAAAAATCAGCATTATCCTTTAGTGGGACAGTAATGACTCAGCAGAGCTTCACCTGCTACAATATATTGTATATGAATACAGGATAAGTTCTCTGTTTACTCTCAGAAGAAAACTAAATTCTGTGTAAATTATTTAATGTAGATTCATTAGGCTGCCAGATTCTAATCTTGCTGTTCTTGAGGGGACCCTGCCACAGTTTCACATATGACATTAGTTCTTGATTGTGCTAGGCTGTGCAGCCCTGGTGCTGTTGAACATGAACTTGAACACTGAAGACATGACAACAGGCCGTTCAGTCCAGTCAGGTCTTCCTTCAAGAGCCCCAGGGGTTCAGGTATTCGTTCCAGCTAAGATCCGAATGAATTTATTGGATTAAGTGGTTAAGTAGTACCGGCTGACATGGTTTCTAGGTCTGTTCTTGATAACTGTTTTAAAGTTACTGTATGTTTAAATTCTACTGGACTGCTGCTCTTCAGAACATTTGATTGTATCCTCTGTAATAAGAAGGTCAGTAACGCTGCATAGCAGACGGGACCATTTGAACTACTTTGCTTGTTTGAATTTTGATAATTGATCCCAGGATGTCATCCATCTGATTATTCAAGGCTCTCTGTGGAATCAGTTTGTACAACCTGACCTGACAGATTTTTCCAGACACACTGGACTCTGTGTAAAGATGTCCCTCTTGTCCTTGTTCTTAAATGCCACTTACTCATCATTTCAACACCTGTGCCTCTGGGTCCTTGCTTTGTTGCCGAGCAGTCCGAGTTCAGTCTGCCAGCACTGCTCAGTATCTTGAAGCCACTTGTATTCAGTCTAAGGTGAGTTAACGGCCTGGTGTGCTCTGTGGCAGCTCTTTTGTTAATACAGATAGATGCTGTGCTCCACAGGAAGCCCTGCTCCTGGTCCTGTGCCCAAGGGAAAGATTCGGCTGTACAGCATGAGGTTCTGCCCTTTCGCACAAAGGACCCGCCTTATCCTCCATGCCAAAGGCATCAAGTAAGCACGGCTGTCCAGTTTCTTCATCATTCACCACATGGCATGACAGAACATCTTATTCCTGGATCTGTCAAGATTGACTTGTATCTGGGGACTCCAACCCTGGTCCAGGAGAGCCTTAGTCCGACTAGTCTCTTACGCCTGGTGTTCCCAATACTTTTCCTGGAGAATCCCAATCCAACTGCTCTCAGAGGTCAGGGTTTGCCATCCTGGTCATAGAGACTTGCACACCAACTGGTTATTGTTCCAGCAGAGTTCTCAGCTACACAGCTGAACTTAAAAGGCTTTATTTTTATAAAAATGTTTTTAAACTTGTTAAAGGTTGCTTTTGAATTATTGCATTTCCTAAGTAAAATAAAATCCCAATCTTTTGAATAGAAAAAAAGGCAATTAAGGCATTAGTTAGGTAAATATACTCAGGTAGAATGAAAGCCAACTTTTTGTGTAGGGAACCACTATTAAAGGTCATGCTTAATCGCCTGTTTATTTAAGGATTAGAAACACTTGAATTTATTGCGTGCTTTAGTAGGCATTGTGCTCAGTAAGAGAATTCTCATTCCTGATATCTGAAGTATATTCTGATTTTTGTCAGGATTACCCCAAGCATCTCAAAATTTACTGTATTTAATAAAATAACTTATTTTAATTGATCAATGTTTAATTGTTGCAGATCTTTAGAAATTGATGATTTAGTAGTGATCTATCAATTCTGCTGTTGGGGAATTATAACCTGTATAATTTGTGTTATTAATAAAAACTGACCTAATGACTTTCTGTTTTGTGTTTTACATGTGTTTACAAAATGTGAACTGAATTTATCAATCACAGGCAAATGCTTTCCAAGTACTGTATGTGTTGGCATTTTTGTTAACAAAAAATTGTTGCTTTTAAGTTTACTTGGAGAAAAGTCAACCTTCTGTGAGCCATTTGCAGAAAGTGCAGTTGACAAAATGTCTTTTTTCATAGACATGACACCATCAACATCAACCTGAAGGACAAGCCTGATTGGTTCTTGGAGAAGAATCCCTTTGGTCTTGTCCCAGTGCTGGAGACTCCTGCTGGCCAAGTGATCTATGAGTCACCAATCACATGTGAATACCTGGATGAAGTGTACCCTGGGAGGAAGCTGATCCCTTCAGACCCATATGAGAAGGCACAACAGAAGATGCTGCTGGAGCATTTCTCCAAGGTAGACATAGCCCTGTTACTGGACTTTAAATGAGAGGCAGTATTGTACAGTAGGTGGAACTATATTGTACACCCTTACTGTTTTAAAAAAAATACAATTCTGAACTAATTGCCTGTCTATTTGTATGCACACTTGTTGTGCAAATTTACTTTACTTAAAAAAATGACCTTTTGCTTGTCTCTTTAAACTTGTGTGTATATATGTACTGTATATCAAGAGGATTTCTAATTCTAAGGGAGCACTGATATTAGGAATTGAGGATTGGGCCTCTCTGGGACCAGGGTTGGAGTCTCCAAATATAAGAGATCATGGAAGGAGATGTTCTGTTGTGGTATGTGGTATATGATGAAGAAGCTGTGTGGACATTTAATCAGAGTTCCATTCGAACTAGAAATCCCTTTGATATACATACATATACAAGCTTTACATGAAGTAAAAAAAATCTTTAGTCTGACAGATTTTGTATTTCTGTGATCGATTGGAGTAACCTTGCATGATACATTATTAGATCTCTATCACCATTATATGGCTATGGATACTTCAATGCTTTGCTCTTTTTCAGCTCACCCCATACTTTTACAAGATTCCGATGGCCCAAAAAAATGGTGAAGACACATCCGAAATGGAAGGGGAACTGAAGCTGAAGCTTGGAAAATTTAATGAGGCAAAAATATTTAAAGCTTTATTTTCATGTTGGTGTTGTGACCAAGGTTTTGTGCAAAACAGCTAGAGGTGAAGACACCTGATGTCTTTTTTGACTTGCATAAGATGGCATATTTGCTCTTAAAGTCATAAGCAATTTAATATAGCAGGGTGTTTGAGAAAAAAGTGCATAGTGTGTTTTTCATTTGCTAAATCAGAATAACTATGGTAATGAGGGATTAGTTCAGGAGGGTTGCAACTGAATTTTTCTAGCCTAATTTATATGTAAACCCAACATGTGTAGATATGACACAATATTTGTCTATAAAATACTTCGTGAAATTTTGCAGGAGTCTATTGGATTCCTCTGAGCAAATCACCAAATTGTAGAAGCAAAAATAATGTAAGTCTTGTAACATTATACTAAAAATAGTGTTAGTCTTGTAACTGTATACTATTGCTTAATTGAACTGTTTTCTATTGCTTATTAAGGAAAACTCTTTTCTAAACCAGATCTCTTTTGTGTAATATAGTGTATTCACTGCACTTATAATAGATTACCCTGCAAATACAAATAGATTACGAAACACTTATTTAGTCTTGTCAGTATAAGAACAGTGAAGTATTCATGCATTGCAAAACTGTTACTCAGTGTTTGTGATGGCAGAATGTTATCCGATGTGGTTAAATGTTTCCAGGGCATAAGAATGTTTGCTTGGATACTGACAGGCAGTTTACACACAGCTGCTTTCTATTAAAGCAGTCTTTAGTGATGTCATTTCCTGTTTTGCCAATGAAGAATTCCTGCTAGTTGGAAATTGTTACCCTGTATTAACACGCAGTTCATTTTCAAGGACGAGTGGTTTAGAGAGCTCATTTGAAATTTTAATATTTAGTAACTGGAATATAAAGCCCTGCTCTTAATACATTTGCAGGTTGCATAACCCCTTGTAGGTGGCCTTTATAAACTTCTAGCTCATAATCTGTTCTCTTCCTATTTATTTTTAGGCGGGATAGAAACTAGTGAAAATGGAAATGCAATTATCTAATTTAAAATGAGAATTTTTAGTATCATTTCAAAAGACAGGAAACAATCTTTAGCATTATTTTCATACTTCAAGCACTGATGTATTTAGTAAGGAGGACCACTCAGGGTAAGAAAAGGAATTAAAGTAGGAGATCTTTGCATCAACAAAACAGTCTGTATCTTAATTGCAGCACTTCTTAATGTTCCATTTCTGTTTTATCTTGCAGATCCTTTCCAAAAAGAAGAGCAAGTTCTTTGGAGGAGATGCTGTATCTATGATTGACTACATGATCTGGCCTTGGTTCGAGAGAATAGAGATACTCTCCTTGAAGCAGTATGTATCATTAGCATGTCCAAGGCAATCTTCTCCTTATGATTAGTTTTCACCTTAAATTCTTACTCCATTCAGTGAAAACTTTGCCATCTGGTTAAGTAGCAAACTATGATCCAAATGAGCTTTTTTTACCCTGAGTGTATTTTCATCTTTGCACAATTTTACCATAAAATGAAAGAAGAACTGCTTTAGTACCAAGTCTCAGGACTGTTTCTTGCTTAATGATGTTCTTTTTCCTTCAGCTGTCTCGATAGCAGCCCGGAGCTGACGAGCTGGACAGAGCGAATGATGGAAGATCCAGCAGTGAAGGCTGCCTCAACTGACACGGAGACCTGCAGGGGTTTTTACAAGACTTACACCGAAGGGAAACCCAATTACGATTATGGGCTGTAGGGAAGTGAAATACCGCTTGAACACCAGCTTTCTTCCCAGCCTTTCCAGCTTTAATATTTTCTGCGTAAATACCAGCTTTGTCAATATTTTATGTGTCAGTTGGTTAAAAGAGATGTCTTGTGGAGGCATACTTTTTTCATTGTAAACCATCAATTTACCCGTTTACCTGTGCAGGACTATGAAGTTTATTTCCTCTTTAAATCATTTGAATGTATACATTTTCAGGTGGTTCATAGAGTTGTGATAAAGGAATACAAGGTCATGGATGAAACTATATTTGGTATTTTGGAACTAACAAACCCTCTACATATTAAATTAACCCTAACCTGAAAAATATACCATACTGCTGGCAAATTTTAAATCTGTGGGAAATGTATATGATACTTTAAAACATGGGCAAATCAAATGACACGTGATAACTTGAGGAACGTGTGCAAACAGTCTATAGAAATGATCTCTTTTGTTAGTCTTATGGGTGATTTTTTTCTGCATCATTTGAGTAAGTTTGATACACTGCAGAGTAAGTTCTTTGATTGTTTGTTTTGGGAATTTGGTGAAATAAAGTCCTTATAAAGGCCTTGCTATTTGTTTCATTTCCTCAACTTACTAAAGAATTTTTTGATTTGAGAAGCAGGCCTCTAAGTTTTTGTTGGTTTGAATTTAAATGGATTTAACTTTATTGATTTTCTATAGATATTATTTAAATCTGAACATCCTTCCAGTTTTTACTCTCCAGGATATTTACCTACACCTTTCAATATACTGTTAGGATATTGAATGCGTTTTTCAAATGTTTTTTTATTACACTAAATGCTCAAGGTTCAAGAATGCTCAAGTTTCATGTTTCATGAGTCAGAAAGTTGAAATTATCATGCACGGGATATGTATACACAATTGTTTAAAAAAATCTACAGGAATTGTATGCAAACAACAGGTATCTAGTTTTAGAAGCTAGGAAAGAATTTTACAAACAAATTTCAACAAGATGTCCTAGTCCTAAAAAAAAAAAATAGAAATGCTTCCTTCCATGAGTGACAGTCTGAAAGGAAACTGGCTGTAACTGTATTTCCAACTGGACCAGAAGGGTAGTATCCATTGAGAATTAAAACAATGATGCAATCAGAGGTTTCTAAACTGAAGTATTTCACTCACTGAAGACAAGACTGAAGACAAAAAGCCCCCAACACAAACAGCAACTGAAAATGGCTGCATTACAGGCCTGGCAGAGCATCACAAGGGAAGATACCCAGTCTGGTGTCGTCTATGGATCGCAGACTTCAGGCAGTATTAAATTACAATGAAGTACTAAAAATCACAATTTTATGTATAGCATGACAATTTTATGTAAGATTATGTTAATGTGTCGAATTACTTTTGGTCCCCTTAAATGGGAGGACTATGTATAAGAAGGGCTGTGATTCCTATATGGTTCACCCAATATAGATGTAAATACCCTCGAAGTAAAGCTGACATTCTGCACCTCATAGTCATTGTTTCGTTTAAAATCCAATGTGCTGGAGTACAGAGCCAAAACAGCAAAAATGGTGCCACTGTCCAAATACATATGGACTGCACTGTATGGTGGAATATCTGGTCATCTTAAAATACCTTGGTAAGGTTCAGTGATGTGATTTATTTCTAATTTATTTTTAACCAGGGCACTGCAAGAAGGGATCTTGAGCAATGGAGGCTCCCAAACAGGTGGCAGTTAAAGTAGAAGTGCCTAATGATGTAATTTCCTGTTCTTTTTCTTTTTAGATGGAAACACAGTTACATTAATGTTATAATTTCAATTATGGTACAGTTCTAGTATCCTAGCCTGAATGTATAAGAAATAAAAACTGATTATGAAATAGTATTGTTTTGTTGAAAAACCACCTGCAGTACTGTTGTTATACATTGCCAAATACTAGCTGTATGAAATATAAAAAAAATCCTTGGACTTTTTACATTGTGTCAAAATCACCACACTTACATGTACAGTAACTGTTGTTATACTTTAAAATATCTTTTTATTTTGGCAAGTTTAAAACATTCCGTATAAGTACAAAGTTCTTTCACATTTCAAATCACACATCAGGTTCCTAGGTGGGAAAAATGAAAAACAGATATCTACAAGAGGAAAGCCATGGAACTTATAACACTGTACCTGGAAATACGCAAACTGATGACTACAAGTGGGGTTTTATCTTTCGGGAAATGGATTTAGAAAAAGACTGCTGTACTGAATAAATGACCATTTTCTAATACAGGTACTTGAATACAACGGGCACCATATGGATTTGTTGTTACTGCACTTGTTTTTAATACATACACTTAATTGCATTTATACAGTGTTTTTCATTGCACTCCAGTCAATTGCTAAGTGGAATTTAACCAGGACAGCAGGACTAATGCAGGGTCAATAGCCATAATCTCATAATCTTTAATAGCCAAGTAGTCAGGACCTCACAGTCTCCACTTTAGGATGACACCTGCAAACTCACAGAATTACAGAATACACTATTTCAGAAATTCTATTTTTCATTTTCTAAATGAGGTGCAGCATAAAAAACAGTTCCACAAAGTATTTTTTTATGTTTACACATTCCCATTTCAGATGTTTCTGGCTGCTATTACTGTACACACCATTTTTGTGAAGACTATCGGTGTCACAGAGTTACAGCACAGCTTTTAGGTACTATGTGCCTTTATGTCATTGTTCTCAAACTGAAAGCAACATGAAAACAATGCATGTTCAAACAGAGAAGGGGTGGGAAACTGAGTACCTGGAAAAAAACTCACATGGACACATGGAAAACTTGCAAGCTCCACACAGACAATAACCCAGGACCCAAAGATTTGAGACAACAATGATAATTGTCTCACCATCTTCCGGTACAATACCTGTACACTGTAGATAAATACATTACAGTTTTTCTATAGTCCATATTCTGAAGACTACAATGAGCTTGTCACTTATGAAAACAAGCCCAAATGTGTGCTTTAACTATAGAATCTCTAAAATTTCATCCTCTATTACCTCCCATTTCTGAAGCAAATGCAGTGCACAGAAAAACTAGGAACTGATGGTGCACTGCAAGGAGGGAAATCACCAAAATGATGTTAATTGCTATGAAGACAGCAGTCTTCACAAGAGAACATTACATTAACATTCCCACAAGAGAAACATTAAAGCCCCCTTCTCCTGTCAAAGATCTATCTGACAGCTCAAAGTACCTTTTAGATAACAAGGTACTGATCAGACACTAACCTTTCTCAAGAGAATAACGCTATGCCAGCAAAGTACAGTATATCATGGTTACATGAGAACAAAATACTAAAAAATGTTACACACAGTGCACAAGGTTTAGAAAAAAAGCATACAGGAAAAGTTAAAATTGTCACAGCCTTTCTAGAAATGATATCTACTTGCAGGGAAGACTTTTGACCAAGCTCATATTATAATATTATTATTATTATTATTATTATTATTATTATAATATGAGCTTGGTCATATTATAATATCCAAGGCAGATCACATTTACAGAAATATATTTTTCATGATTTATTTGGTTTGGGATCTTCCCTATTATTTCAGGGAATTGTCCTCTTGTAAAAACAAACACTGTCCAGTTAATTATACAATATTAGAATGTAAATGGAATGAAAGTGCCATTGTCCTTTTCTAAAGTGACACAGAAGACCACCAGTTTAAATTAACTGCTTGTTTTTACTTTTTAATTATAAAATAGAACCTTGGATGAATGAACACGATTGTATGCAATTGGTTCACAAGTATTTTTTTACCTGTGTACGGCCAGTGAACACTAAACACAGAAAACATGAAAAACAGTGAAAACAATAAAAGCAAAATCATAAAAAAAACAGAAATCATGTAAAGGCCTTTCATCCCACTTACACTATACAAATGACCATTTACAGTGCTTAAATACTTAAATATTGATTCATAACCATTCTATACAAATATAAAATGTACAAAATATTTTTCTTTACTCAAGCTCTAAAAAAGAAAGCTAACATTTTTTTAGATTTTCTAAGGTTATACACATTAGCAAGTATAAAGCGCCTTACCAGTTAGATTTACTCATTAAAGTAACTGGCATGTAGTCCCTTCTGAAGCAAAGCTTAGAAAATACATACTCTCAGTGCAAAGAGAATTCCATCCTAGTACATCACTGAAGGGTCTGATGTGGGGTTATCAATTAATATTTTACACAAAAATAAATGTTTTGTTACTAATAAATGCCTAATGTTCACATATTGGCTTTTAATCATTAAGCATGGCCATGAGGCATTTAGTTTCTGCACCTCTTTCTGGACCATTATTCTTCATCTTAAATCTGTGTGCTTTAAAATGCGTAATGAAAGACGTCAGGATGCAAAATATGAGTCAGATGGATGTGGACCTGAACACTCTTAGAACAGATGATACAAGGTCTGTTTCCATTAGTTATATTTACACAGAGTGCCCTTGGGCTTTTCTTTCTTCCAACAAGTACATGATAGCTGTACAGTGTATATTTAAGGTACTTCTTTCTAATAAAGTTGTGTTATGGATGAAAGGTTTAAAACACTATTTTTTGTCTAGTTTATGAAACAAGGCTACATTTTGGCAAACAGCAAACTGAAGAAATGTAATATTATTTATTCAGAAATCATCCTCATGGCTTTATATCTGTCCTTGTCTGGGATAGAAGACTGAAAATGTACATTTCATTTAATGTCCATGTGACTGTGCTAATACTAAGTGTTATTTACAGACATTTCAAATCAAGCTAGTATGTTTTTTTTTCTATCAATGGTTTTAATTCATTAAGCAAGATTCCTTGGGTCATCTGTAATAAGATAACTAGAATGCACTTAAAGTTTCAATTCAGTATTATTTAAATATCAATTTGAGATCCTGGAATGGTGAATACCAATGAGCTTCCTTCTCCTTATCGCTTTGCTTTTGCCACACTCTTTATGTGAATGCAGCTCAACCGTCTTCTGTATGTTGAAAAAAAGATCTGATCTGAATCTGATGCAGAATTCATATGAATTCAAAGATCACTGTTACAATTTAACAACAGGCTCACGTTCTATACCTAAACTAGTAATACTTGGCAAAATGTTAGAATTCCATTAGAAACCTGTAAGAAATATTTTCTTTCAGCCAAAAAGATAGCTTTTGCCTGAAATTCCCTTCTAATTTCAGAGGTCATTTTTAACTTCACCTTTCAAATTCCCAACAATGCAAACAGCATTTTTTTTGCACAAATGAAATAATAAACCTGGTGTTGTTATTTAAAAAATAAAACAACACTATTAGTAACTACTAGTTACCATCTGATGTGTTATTTAAACTTTGTTGGTGGGTTTGCTTCCTGATTTTCTTTTCAAATGTCCTGTAATGATTTCAATACGTGTTGTATTTTTTATACTTTTACAATGTTGGTTTTAGTTAGTTTGTAATCATTTTTCACAGAAAATCCTTGGAAAACCCAGCAGCGTGTATAAAGTTGGTTTTTGGTCCCCATTTTAAAAAAAGGGTTGTGAAAATATGTGTTCTCAAGACATGACATGTATCAACACAACTGGGGAGTAGAAATGAAAAGCCAAGTTTGTAATAAGCATTCCTTCAAAAGTGTTTGTAACAGTAGGTTTGTCTCTTCAATCTGTGCTCCATGGTTAAAGTCAATGTGATGCTGAAGACTAGAAACTTGTGTTCAGGGAAGAATGTACACTCCCGTTTGGAAAGAGTGGGGTGTACTCCTGTATCAGCACAGGGGCATTTTTGAGCATTTCCTGAAAGTGCTCCACCGTTTTGGCATAAAGATCCCGCTGCAGCACAAGGGGGCGGAACAGATTCAGAGGTTCCGCAGCTTGGAATACCGGTGGAAAGTTAATGTGCTTCGGAACTTGCTTGTTCCCAATTAGAACGTGATACAGCTTCTTCTCCTGAAGGCACTTCTCCAAGAACCTAAGAACGTCTCGTAGCCTCTTCTCCAGGTATTCAGCACGCCAGTCTGAAGAAGGTTTGCTCAGAAGCAAGTGCAGCAGAGCCGTCTTCAAGTGGTAGTTAGTAAGGGCACTTTCACCAGTCAGGCTCGTTTGCTTCTTGTGCAAGAAGGAAATAATCTGAAGGCAGCAGATATGGCAAGAACTCTCTGGCAGTCTCTTGACAAGAACTTTCATCAGGTTTTTCTCATAGACAGCAAAGGAAAGGGGCCAGAAGATATCTGAAGGGTTGTCGTTATTAAAGGCAAAGTGCGAGACAAAATAAGCATCTGTATCCTCGAACTGAACGACAGGAGTGATGTTGAAGATGATGGTCTTTCCTGATCTGAATTTTACCTTCAGGGCTCCTGGAGAATCAAGGTTACGGAACATGAGCTCAAAATCATACTTATGGGAGATGCAGTTCCATGCCTTGGTCATGGATATCAGGAACCACTTCATGACCTGGTCTTTGGCCAGGTAAGGCGTGTTTTTGGAGCACAGCAAGTCATCCATGGCATCACTGACTTTGGGCCTCTCGTTTTTGCTGTGCAGCAGGCACAGCATGTCCTCACCAAGGTCCGTCTTTCCACACACGCAGCCAGGTCCATCTTCGTTAGCTCTCACAACTTTGATTCGGCCGTAGCCCTGTCTGTCGGGGGGAATGTCATTCTGGGAGTTGCACCAGAGCTGAAACGTGAAGCAGTATGGATCTGGAGCGGCAAATGGGACAATGAGATCGCAGATCAGAGGTTTGCTCACCCTCCAGTTTTCATACATGCTGCCCACACCAATGCAGTCCTCAACCTCCATGTCCGCATCCCTGTTGCAAACACTCCGTAAAGCTTCCAGGAGGTCGTCCGCAAAACCCTCCACAAAGTCCTGCACTCTCCAAGTCTCGTTGGCCGAGATGCGGATGCACCTCTCGTAAAAGCAGCTCAGGACAGCTTTGTCCGGAAGAGGGATCTTCAGAGAGACATTCCCAAGAGGCAAACTGTCCTCCTCCTCATAAGTGGGATCCTGAGCTGTGGTGTCATGGTAATCTTGTCTCCAGATCTCAATCATGAGGAAGACGATCATGGACAGAGCGCTCCAAAGGTCCCAGCTAGAGCTCTCCTCGACATCCGGGCTCGGCTGCACCCCCTGCTCCACCTGTGAGGCCTCCCGCTCCAGTCGCGCCTTCTCGGCTAGCAGCTTCTCCTCGTGTTCCCGCATGCGGGCGATGACCTGGTCATCCCGCTCCGGGATGGTGGTGTTCTCTCTCGGGAACAACAGGGGGTGGTTGAGGATGGCGGCTGCCACCACCACGCATACCCGGACAACAGTTCCCTGCATACTGTTTAATCTCTCTGTAAAACAAACAAAAACAAGTTTAAATCATCAGTAGATTTTTAACAAACCTATTTTTGTCATTTACCGCAACCATCCCTCAAAAGCCTTATCAAACGTCCTGCACCATGCCTCTGAGACTGAGCTACAGTGCAGTGCACTCTGCATTTCTACCAGGAACTGCTGCTACCCAACTTCTGGTAAACCAGATGTACAACTGTATGCTAGCATGTTTTTTTTTAAACCCCGTGCTAGAGTTATTTCAAAAGAGTATGCAATTTTGCAGCAATTACTTATTTTCTGAAGGGATTTATCATAAACCAAATATGTTGTGTTCAAAATCACACAGTTTGAAACTGCTATGCTATGCTATGCATTACAAAACATGGGGAAGTATAAAAACTCTCACATCTCCTAAAGACATAGATTCTGCACCTGTATTCTATTCACAATGCTGAGATTAAGGATGAGTTTCGGGGCAGTGCTGTTAAGAATGTTATTTAGCATGAGCTCCTCCAAACCAAGATTTATGTCAAGCAGTATCACTGCTCTTCAGGGAATGACTTTCGCTAAGAAAATACCGAGAATAGTTTTCTGATAATAAAATGTGATGGAAAGTGCTTTAAAATGAATCAGTTTGCATATTTCACTCTTATTCAGGGAATCTTACCAGCTTTTGATTAACTATGAATTCCTCTTCTAGCTAAATTAGGTTGTGTCACGATCGTAAACCCCTCCTCTTAAGGACGCTCCGGCCCTTCCTAGTTTACCTCAGATTTCCTGAACCTGCCTCTGGTTCCAGTCTCCCCTTTAAAAGCCAGACACTCCCACCATTCCAGGCTCAGCTATGGAAGATGGACACCCGGAAGCACCCCTTACCAGCGAGTCCAGAAGAGGCTCGGCAACATAGGCTTCGCAACGGCTTCTTGACCATCTGGGTCTGGGGCTTGGAGCGCCTGGCCCTGTTACCCCTTTTTATCCCCCCAACCCTTCGCCGGATCCCGCTCCGGCTTTTAACTCCTGTCTTGTCTGTCAAGGATGGATCACCCGGCTCTGGACATTAGCATTCTCTGGATTTTCTTACGGACTCCCTTCAGACTTGTTTACCTTGGCCACGCCCCCCGAGCACCAGCGCACCTTGGCCACGCCCCCCTGTTCGTCCAGCCCCGATCCTAGTCCTTTTTTCCTTGGTTAGTCTCACTCCCCTACGGATTTTGCCGTCTGCATAGGGTACTAAAAACGCTTCGTGACAGGTTGTTTATGCAATTCAGTACAGAACTCAATTTAAGTGAAACTTCACTTCTTTTAACATAGACAGTTGCATAGCTTCTATGAAAAAAATTATGTACAGTCAATATAATACTGTGGTTTCACGTTGTGAAGAGATGCGAAGTTCACGTGCCTAGTTATTTTTTTTTGTTGAGACGTATGTCCAATACATGTCTTAATAAGTGTCACCTGAGTTTCAACACCCAAGAAGAAAACTCTCAAAAACAACCAAAACAATTCATAGACCTGCTTAAAATCCAAGTGAAATATGAATCCAACCTCGGATACAGTAACATCTCCTTGGTTCTTAAGGTTTTCTTGTAAAAACTGCAGCTACTGTTAAAAAAACTATCTTTATTTACTTCTGAAATGTACTCCTGTGCTTTGTGAACAGAAAATACAAAAAGGTATACAAGAGGCAAGCCAAACAAACTCATGTTGTCAAAAAAAGTTATTTTCAGTAAACAAAGAGTACAGTCAAGTCTGCTTTTTAGCCAACTTCCCCCTGCAGGTACAGTAGATAACACCAGATTTAGGACATGCTTACAGAATTAGAGGTAAGAAAACTGAAGAAATGAAAACAGCCAAAGGAAATGATGACAGAATGAGGTTTAAATGAGCCACTTCATAAGCCAGAATCACACAGCAGAGGTAAAAGTACCAAAGAAAACACATAACACAGTTTTCCATACTGATCCTGTGCTTGAATCACAAGACAAGATGGCCCGGCCTTCTTTAGAGTTATAGCGCTAAAGAAGACAATGAACTGCTTTAATTTAGCTTGAACAGTTTAGAAAGTCATCCCTGCAGCATACCTCAATAAGGACACTGCAGCGAGCTGAAGGAAAGGACTGAGCCTGCCAGATGGGTGTGTAATCGTGATATCTAAGAATCCAGCCCCAGCCCTAACTCTCTGAGGGCTTTTCCTGTTTATCTCAGTGGAGTACAGAGACTCCATTACCATGGGTCCAGTGCTCAAACTGCAAACCCAAACCTTTGTTTCTCTATCTTGCAACTACAGGCTGCCAGAGCTCTCACCTTGTGTTGAATCATGTTTCTGTGATAGATACCTTGATTTCTAAAAAGGGGGAAAAAAAGCAGCACAACAGCTCAGTTGTTTTCTCAATGTCCTGGGGGATGAAGTCATGCTTGCCTGTGATGACTGTCCCTTCAAGCTCAGTACTTCTACATTTATACAATAGGCTTTATATATCTACATGATGGTAGTACAGGTTTGTGTACAAAATGTCATTCCTTGGACTGTTTGGAACATATTGAAATTGTCACATGAATTTTAAAGAGGAAGCAGTAACAGCTAAAAACTGAGCCTGATTAACTTGCTGATTTCTTTCCCTTAGGGAATTCAAAGAAAAGCAAATCTCATAGAAGACCCATAGGATTTACAATTGTGTCACTTTAGAGTTTATAAATAAACCTATTCTCATTTTTCATTGCAAACGGCTGGGTTTTCAAGTGTTCTGAAGGGTTTGTGCCTGATCTTTCAACTCAAACTTGATGCACCATGAGGGTGCAACTTACAGGGGAAATGAATATCGGCCAGGCCTACACCTTTCCTGTTGCATATCCTTTTCTACATTTTGTAGTATTCTTTCTTTTCTGTGCAGTGTACTTTGTCACACTTGCAATGCACTAAAAATGCATGTCACTCTTTTGGATGCGAGATTGGTAACTGCTCATGCTCCTCTGCGTAGCTCAGCTCCTGTCTCTCTGCTTATGTTACCAAAAGCGCTTATCTTAAGGCACTTATCACAGTGTGTTTTTTTATAGACACTAGAGACTCATTCGGCATTTTGTCTCTTAAAATTCCCTGGAATTGTTCTTGTAGGTTTAGGTCTGGAAAATGAATTATTAGTTGACCAGCGGAGGTAAAGTTAAAAACTGTGTGCACTGTACCTCATTTACAACAAGAAAATTCAAGGTTTAACAAATCCCCATTAATCAGACAGGTCTCAAACTGTAATTGTACAGGCTACAGATGTTTCCAGTATCACATAACTGCTCAACACTGATTAGAAACATTTTTGTATTTTTGCACATTCTGCTTACACAGGCTGTAAATAACTTTTAGTGCACCTATAGTTAAGTAAGTGCAAACCAAATTGAAAATGCTAAGTCAGAGAGTAAAGGAACGTTTTCAATGTTTAATGCAGATAACCTGGAGATCCAAGATGTACTGTACAACACTACAGTATGTGAATGTTCTGAACCACAGATAATATTGTGCAAGCACAACGTTAAGTAGAAATTAAAGTATGAACTTGGAGGTTTCATTTAGGAAGTTAAGATGTTTTCAGAAACATTTCCAGATAAGATGTGTTTCACACGTTACCATTTAATCAAAAAGACATAAAAGATCACTGAGAATAAACTAATTAATTGATTACCCTGTAGGTAGTAGCTTGTCTCCTTAACTTCCATACCATTTGATTCCACATCCATAAATGTGCTGCCTTACATGTTAAGGCAGCAGAGATTTTATCTAAAACATTTAAACAGAAGCTCAAGCCCCACATTATTTATAGAACGCTTACAAAGTTACACAACCCTCTGGTCTCAGTACAGACTCTATAAGGAAGTCAGATAACCTTTTCTAGCTAGTTCCTGAACTGCTATTTCAGGCCTGCTACACCAAGTACACCCTGACTTATGATGCACATTACACAATGATTAAATGTTTAATATTAGAGCAACTTCTAAAGGTGTTGCAGATCTTATTGAAATGTGATTTATTTAATATAGTTACAGAATACTTAATGTGCTTAACAGATGTGAATACCAGGTTAGAGACATTGTGTAGAAGCAGAAAATACCTGCTAGACTGATTTTGCAATAGTGGGTCAATTTATCAGCTTTATAATGATCATTTCATTTAAAGGCAATTAAAAGCTTTCAAAATTGTGAGTACACAAACAAAGCATAATCTATTCTGAAAAGACTGATAAATAACATTTCCTACACTTACTAAATGTAACAGTAATTACACAAAGATTTATCTTGATGTATTGTACGTGGTTTCCATGTGTCAATTTTCTGTCTAATCTACTAATTAAATGTACTCTATGCTTGAATATTTTATAAAGAAGCACATTTTGATATAATGCTCAGCTGACATTATTATTCATTACAACAATGCAACAAACAATAGAGTTGTCTGAAGGAAAAATAATAGAAACCATTTTCTATTATTCTTCCTTATGACAACTCTATTTCTCTATTATGACTAAGACATTACACAAGCATTTCACAGTATACACAGCAGCTGTCTGTACATATATTATCTGTCAACAGCAATTTTCTTCTTTTCTTTCTAGATACAGTACAATCTAGACATAGATAGTATAGTCTTTTACAGTCAACACTTTCTCATCACCTCAACTTGTGTATGAGAAAAGTTAATTAACAAAGTTAATTAACTTTTGTGGGAATGTAGATCCTGGATACAAACTTTAGTAATCTTTGAAAATTATATTAAGCAATTTGCTGTTGCTTTTTTACTGGTCTTATTTCAGTGTTGGGCTGGACTCTTTCAATTTCTTGGAGAGGAAGGAAATTGCATGAAGACACTCTTTTACCTAATTAAGCAGTGGCAATTAAAAGTGAAAATGGGAATTTTAAAGCTTGTGTTGATGTTTATAAACTGGATTTATACATCATACTGTATATCTGTGAACACAAACTTGTCTAATTTATATAAAATACTGCAAATTGACCAATGTTGCAACTGATTCACAGAAAACTGTTGAATGTATACGCATAAAGTTCAAGTCCACATTCAATCATTCAGTCCTTACCAACCTCTTCTTATTTCCCCTCTGAGAGGCTCACAGGCTTCACAGCAATTGCTCTGGTCAGCCAAACTCAAAACAAACAAATTAAGGCTGCTCTCTCCGGTCCTACATGGTTGCCAAGGTTTCTATATACAGTATGACGCTGCAGACTCTCATTGGACATAAGGTCAGAAACCCTTGGAATCCAAAAGAAATATAATTAAGCAGGTCAAATGTCCTTGGCAGTGACTGCATAGCTTTTGCAGGGCATGCTTTTTTCCCATGACTGTGATGTCATTCAGCTGTTCTCAGGCAACACAGTAAAAGTGGCCAGGATATGGAAAATTGAGCACTGGAGGTATTTCTGTTTTACAACTCATCTTAAGTAAGACTTCCATATTTCCAAAATCCAAGTCTCCTTGGAAGCTTGTTCGATCGCAACTTGAACATGCACGATTCTGCACTTTGCAATATACCATATCAGTGGAAATATTGTTTGTAGTTTAACAGCGCAATTATTGGAACGCCCAAAACAGAAATGAAACTCAATTTGGTTTCATCAAAAGCGGACAGCCTTCCATAATCTCAAAGAAACGGTTAACTAAAAAATAAACAAACCAACAAAACAGCAATAATTCTATTTTTACCAAATATTTTCTTCTACAAAAAGGAGTAAGTGTGTGATAAATAATAATCGCAAAGTAAAGCGTGCGTATGAACTAGAGCTAAGGTAAAACGTCATATAAACCATTTTGAAGCACGACACGCCAACCATATTAAAACGATTAAAAAGACACAAAACGCCATGCAGTTACCCCTGGGTAAATATCAGAATGACTCTTTTGCATCAGACTGTATTTGTGGCGTTTTCTTCAATATGTTATGAAATCTAACATGTCATTTGTAATTGGGGGTTTTACTATTTACAACGATATTAAACGGTTAAGCCATCGCTAGCTTCCTGACATTGTGAAGACAGAAGCAAGTGTGTGCTGAGCACCTATTGTGACTATCCGTTTTAGGAAAGTCATCTGGAACAAGACAATCTCTCAGGGGAAAAAAACGGCTCTTTACTAATAGGAAATGGGAGTTACGGATACCAACACGTGTTAAAATGCTTAATTCCTCCAAAATGAAAAGGCGGTAACTCGTGAATCGACGAGGAATCTGCGATTTTGCACGTATGTCACTGTACGGGCGTTTAAAGCATCCGATTCTCCTCCAGGTTATAGCGGTACCGGTCTTTCAGCATGTATCCAGTTTCACCCATATTAACAGAACTAAAAATTACCGGAAATAAGAATATTTTGTTAATATACTAACCTGTGAATATATAGCACACTCGCTCACATATAAAATCCAAATAAAAAAGTGCATTTTCCTCGATATTATTCAACCGACAAAGATGAGCGATGAAAACAACATTTAAATGATACAAAAGCCCGTACCCAAATAAAGCAGCAGCTTCTTCCTTACTTTCTGTTCCTTCCTCTTACTCGTGTCTCCGCGGGTTGGTTTTTACTCATTTCCTGAACGTTTTATGCCCTCTGATGAAAAACTTTTTCCTCCCATCTCACCAAGAGCTTACGCTAGCAGTAAAGACACCCTAATAACCGCTGGGGACTTTCCTTAAAAGGTCGTACGTTGTTTTGCAAATAAACTTGATCGCTTCAAAACATCCTTTTACTCGAAAACATGTTAACAGTAACATCCATCTTTCGTCTGTTACCGCTACCCTTGTGTCCAGTGCTTGTAAGTGCTTGAGCATTGGGGTTACAGAATCTATGACATTGTTAACGCACATGGGAAGGGGCTGGGTGTTTCTACCGGTTCAGGCGGCAGGGAAGTCCGGGTAGATCTCAAAGCAGCAGTCGCTCAACACACAATACCTTATTATCTCATAAAATAGCGCGCCGCAAAAATAGTACAATACAGTACGTGCACTTACGCGGTTGAATAACGGTTTTCACAAGGTCAAATGAAAGTCACTTCATCTCACAACACATAAAAGGTACCGTGCAAGAAAAAAGAGGACTTCACGGGAAATAAAACCGTGCTATGTTTGGCGAAACCATTATGCTTGGGGAAGTCACTAGGATAGCCATGTATTAAGTATAGCTAATTGAAAATGGTATTTTCCTGAGATGGAATTTGCATGTGCTAATTGAGATACAGTGAACATAACTTAAATAAAAACAAACTATATGTTTTTTATTATTTTTGTTTGGTCTTTTAATATTTATATCAACTTGTTTGCCTCAATATTAAAAAGTCAATAAAGCCATTATTGAAAAATAATGTTAAAGGATTATTTGGCGTTTTTCAACTGCTTTATTAAAAAATGCAGCACTTGACCACAAAAAGAAACATTTTGTATAGAAGGTCAGGTGGAGTACTTCTCAGCATCTCTACCTGTAAAGGAATTATTCTACTCTTCCTCCATATTAACCAAAAGGGCCAACAAGAAAAAAAAAAAGAATCGCAGCTTTTCATTAAAGACTGAAATCTCGTTTCAACCGGCGAACAGTCGGGTACAGATAAGATCTTTAATATACTGTAGGAGTTAGTAGATGACTTTCAGTATGTAATTAGTACCAGTAAAGTAGTCCGTTTCATTTATTTTCCTAATTTTTAAATTCTAGTGTGTAATGAGATCCTTCGGCCTTTAACAATGGTTTTGCCCTTCGAGTCCTATCTTGATAATACAGCACTTTTCTGCCTGCTTTTTTCTTTTTAACCACAAGGGGGAATCGTTATTTTATTCTTTCAACAGAATGTGCGCCTTTGATCACAGCACACAAGAAAATTTCACCTGCACCCATAGCTCTATGTTAATATCACAGTTCAATACAACTATTATAAGCCAGTACCGCAAAAAAATAATATGTGAATATGATCACAAATCTATTCATTTTGACTTTTAAATATTTTCGTTTTAAATATGCAAATATCCACTTCTTATTTCCAGTTTTTTCCCTATTTCTCTCGAAAGGTGAAATGAGAATATACGAGAGAAAATGAGATGGTACAAGGTTTACTTTACAGTATAAAGTGTATGCTTTTTTAGCTGTTACTCTTTATTGTTTGACATATTGTCTAATCAAACCTATCTCCAGAATTCATGTTACAAAACAAGTTTAAAAGTTCTACTTTTCAGTTCAATTTACAGAACGTTTTAGTGTTTGCGTAACTTTTTATTTGCTCAGAAGAATAATGAGTAACGGTGCAGAGTAATGCGTTTATAACATTATATGCACAAATCGCATTGGATTTATTGACAGAAATCCTACCTTTTATATGACACTTCCTGATCAAAAGGACGTTAGCATTTATCACAGGCTCGTTTTGTTTGAAACGCGCAAGATGACATTGCACTTTCCAGACAAAGGCGTGCAAAATGTATCCGACTGAGTTCAGGAAGAGTGAACTTCACAATGAAATGGAAATCTCAGTTTGTTGATCCTTGTATTGATATGCTTTTTTGAGCAGCAGGTAATCCAGTGAATGGGAGGAATTTGGGTGGCGCTTCACACAGCTGGTGCGCTTTAGCTGAGATTTGTCTGGTGCATTGACACTTCGGAAGTCCTCGTTAAAGCTTAATTTGAAATAAAATCAGAAAAGACTAGTAATTGAGGTTAATTGCGCAAACCTATCCGTCACAATTCTGCCGACGAACCCTTTTCAGAGGAACCTGTTGTTCGAACGTTAAGCTGACATTGTACTGAAGAAGTCTCCGTTTACGGTACAGTAACATCAAAACCCAGCTAGATTTTTTTAAAAGTGTTTCTTTACAAACTCTAGGATATAATATATTTCTATTTTAACGTGTTTTACACTGAATAATTAAGTTTTTATATCTCGGCATCTTAAAGTGTTAGCTTAATAATAAAAAGCAAGAAAAATAGCCTAGAACTAAAAATAATAAACTCAAAAAAGAGCTCGAGTGCAACAGCCTCTGAAGACATTTACCAGTATTTATCTCGTAATATTTCTTTTCAACCTCATTCTCTACTGTATCATCCTCAACTGCCGAAACACCTATGGATCGTCTCAAACTTGTTTTGCAATATTTTCAGTCTAATTCGGAATCAATTTCCAATGGAATCTGTGTTATACTGGCCTTGGTCAGTGTGAAGTTGTACACCACCTTCGACTTCAACTGCCCCTGTCTGCCACAGTACAACAAAATCTACGCAATGGGAGTCATGTTCGTCCCGCCTATAATACTATTTTTCTTGGGGGTCCTAGTAAATCGACATACAGGTGTCATGATGGAAGAGTGGGCGAGACCCGTCGGCAGGAGGTCGAAAAGCCCCGCTATTGTCAAGTAAGCGCAACCTTTTACTTTGCGAACTGTAAGATATCTCATCTCTCTGCATCTCTCTGCTTCCGACATTCTCCGCTCAGAATTGTATAAATACAGGAGCAGATTCGTTGATCTTTACAGTAGGAGAAGCTGCACGTCTGCGGTGATATAAACGTGCTGAGTCTGTAGTCTACTGATTCGGGATATGCAGAAGGAAATCGCCATTTTCAGTTTTTATTCAAGTCCCTTCACCAAAAAAGATGCAAATCGTGATGTATTTGTTCTTTAGTCTATACTGTACAGTATATTCTGTACATACGTATATAAAATAGACCCATACTGTACAATCTAATATTCTGAAATAATGCAGATGCTGGTTGAAGATTGAAATGACTACCATTTATTTTTTTGTATCATTATATTATTTAGAATCTCAAAATGGGGCCTGGTAAGTCCCTGAGCTTCAGTTTATGTCTATAGTAGAAATGCACAAGAATTCCTGGAGGACTGCGGAGTCTGTAAGGTTTCATTTAACCTAAGATGGTAACTGATCTAATTGTGTGGCTTATACTGGACCAATTGAACACATTTGCCCAGTTCTTTAGGTACTGGAAACTGTATATAAAGGTTTAGGTACTGGAAACCTGTAAGACCTGCTTGCACAGTGACCTTCCAAAGCTGGAGTTGCATGTCTCTGGTGCAGAAAAGTATGGAAGAACTTTCACCTGTAATCTTTCACATTATTTCTGAATCAAGAAGCCTTACCATTCATTCCTTCTCAGTTGCATCCATATTACGTAACTCATACAACAAGAATGAATCATTTATGGTGTGAATTATTCTCTATCACTGGAGAGATGTACTAAATTCTAGTTACATCTCTTTATTAGTTACTGTAGTCACCTGCCATATGATGACAGAGGGGCAAAGTTCAAGTGAAACAGACTATAATAACCTAAATCAATTGACCCAATCTTAAATCAATCTTTGCACCTATCAATGGACATGTTTCAATTAATCCGCTGTGAATCTGTTGCCCTTAACCACTGCTTTTAATTCCTTATTGATATCACACATTAGTTATTAAGGTGGTTATGTAAATCTGCATTGGGGAGGGCATGAGGGTGGGAAGAGACTAGAGCACCCAGATAAACAACTTGAAAGCACCCCAGTCTAGAACTGAACCCAAGAACTGAGGCAGCAGTCCTAACTAACATGTGGTTGTGCTGCCCTTCAAGTACAACATTAAATAAACATTGATTAGATTCTACCAAACTCTCAACAAAGAACATCTCAATTAATTAAATCAGACAGAATCTAGTAGATTTTAAGAACAGTATAAAGAATAACAACCTTGTTTATGTTCTTGAATACTGTAGTGAGTCTTGCACTTAAGAATAATTTGCTTGTCCGAGTCACCCTGGGAAGCTCTTTCAGCAGTTGGTGGCTCGAAACCCTTGCATTTTTCAGGGCAATTAAGAAAAACTGAGGCACCATTAATAATCATTATGTGCCCAGGTGATTAATTCTCTTGCTCTGTAGTCTTTCAATATGGATTGTCTTCACTCATTAGTCATGGTATGATAATTATCTATTTTCTGCTGCATTGGTTTTTATTCCTATGCATGGTTGAGTGTACTTTAATATGGTAAAAATGTACAGTAGGTTATTGCTTTTTTAATTGAAGGGGGGGTGGGATGATCTAATATGGTGTGTTCATCTGTTAACTGTACAGACGAAATTGAATCTTAAGTATTTTCTTTAGATCCTTACGTATTTATGTTACTTTTCAACTGTACAAAGGGAGTCATGATTTGTCTAGGTCTGTGACCAAAATATGCTGCAGAAAATCAAGCATAAATGAAATCTAATATGTAAGAATGACACCATCATGGAAAGGAAATATTCAGATTAACAAGGTAATCCTCAATGTGTTGTGTGTTTTTAAAAATGGGGGGAACTTTCAGGACTGTTAAGTAATGGGTTTGTTGAAAGTCCAGATATTTATTCTATGTGTTTACAAGTTAGTTTAAATAATTCTAAAAGCTACTTTTTCACTACTGGGGCTGCATGTGTTGTCAGTGCAGTTAAAAGGGAGGTCCTCCAGTAAACATGCATAACTTCTTAGTGACTGAACAGTAGAAGAGTGAGGAGGAATTGAGATGGCCAGTAATGCCAGCATACAGTAGATCTAATATGACAATTAAAGCTCTTTGTGATAATGGTGTACTCTCTCATTTTCAAAGTTCAGGTGGCACCAATCACACAACGTGCTCTGAAACAAATACTGCCAATTGCCAATCCTACTTTCTAAAGAACTCCTCTCTAACATTTGTAAAAATACAGAATGGGAAGCAAAACAGCTACTTCTATACAATTGATACCGATAAGGATGGCTCTATGAAAAACATCAGTGAAATAAATGCATTGCACATTACAACCTCTGAGCTCCAAGGCTTTGTTTCAGCCATTCTTTTCAGTTAAATCTGCTTCCTAAAAAATCATCATCACCCCTACTCTTCTAAAAAAATATTAAAACCGCTGGCCACCTTTCAGACATGTTGCACTGTTCTCCTGACAAACAGCACTGGTTCTTAATTCAGGTTGGAAACACCTTTGCTTCTTCCAATGAATTGCAGCTTTCAGCTGTCTAGGTATAAAACAGAACCCTCAAACAGGTTGATTGAATTCATCCGTAATATTTATAAAACTGCATTCTGTGCCTGTGACCCCAGACATCATGGGAGATGTTGATGTGCTGCTTTTGCAGGTTCATGTTTTCGGCCATGATGCAGAGAGCCATGCTTGCCCCCATGGTGTGGATACTAGTCACGCTCCTGGATGGGAAATGCTTTGTCTGTGCCTTTAGCATCAGCGTGGACCCCAAGCACTTCTCAGGCATGCCCAACAACACAGGTCTGGATGTCATCCGCATTTTAGCCAAGGTGCCGTGCAAAGAAGATGTTATTTTCCAGGACAACACGTTTCGCAAGGCTGTGTCCCGCTACCTGCGCTGCTGGTCACAGGTGAGCAAAGTTCTCTAGCCGTCCTACAGAGGCTATTGGCTATCTTACCTTGACTCACACTATGAAATTTAAGTGCCATAAATGCGTTAAGTTGCAGAACCACATTTGAAATTGATATAACATAAGTAGTTGTCCTTCCTATGTTAAAATAAAGACATGCTTCTTCTGCCATCCATTGTGAAAATAAGGCTGAGGACCAATTCCAGTTACTAAGCTTTTGAAATACAATTAAGTATTAATGAACAATTTGGCAGAAACACTGTTCAATAACATACAACAGTACATTTTAAAAATACACCTGTAATCTCCTTGGTCTGTGTAATGGATTTGATTTTAGCTCTGCTTCGTGTCCCAGTTTACTCTAGAGTTTAAAGCCAAATGTATTTACGAAAAGAGAAGGTAGATGAAGAGCTGAATTTTTTTTTCTACTTGCTATATATAAAAGAACTGACAGGCTGTCTGTCATGAAGTCCCCATTAAAAGTCATCTTTGTAGTAAACACCTTGTGTATAACATATTCTTTAAGTCCTACAGATGTGTGAGGTTTGCCATATGCTATCATTACCATCACTTATGTTAATCATATACTTACCATTGACAATTGTGAATTTGCTGTTTTAACTAGCTATCAGCTCACATGAATCAAGACATTGCTCTATTACCTAAACAAACTATGTGTATGGTTAGGGAATACAAACATGCAGTTCTAACAAGAACGATAGTATCTTGCATTATGTCCTTTAGGAACTGATAGGAATTTCTTATACCCTTAACTTTAATATAGCTCAATAAAGGCTTCACTACCACAGTTCTCCATTGTAGTAGCATGAGCTTGTACCATAAATACATTTAGGACAACAACATTCTGGTGTATATTTTCTTTTTTTACTTGTTTCACATCCTGTTATATATTTAAATATTTAAGCATAATATTGTTTGTTGTTTTTTTGCTGTTGTTTTTAAAAATAAGAAGTCTCAGGAGTGCAGAAGAATGTTTGTTTTGTTTTTGGTGTTAAAAATAATCCCCAACACGCATAAGCTTCCAGTGACTGTGGGTGAATTGGTTGCTCCTTCTTAGTTACACCTTTCATGCAGAGGAGAGCTCTCTTGTCCTCTTCCCTGCAGGCCTTCGGCTGGAGTATACTGCTCATCCTCATCGTTCTGGGGGCAGTGGCCCGCACCATCAAGCCCTGCTTTGACCACGCCACCTTCCTGCAGACACGCTACTGGAGCAACTACCTGGACATGGAGCAGAAACTCTTCGACGAGACCTGCTGCCTGCATGCCCGCGAATTCGCCCGCCAGTGCGTCATCCAGTTCTTCGAAAACATGAGCGACGAAGCTCAGGCTAGTCTGCCGCCGCGTCCCATCAGCAAAGATGAGGACGAGGAGGACTACTTGCACGGCGTCACAAAGCAAAAGGAGGTGAACAAGGTACTGGAGACCTGGTACTTCAGCAAACCTGAGCTGGATGTGACCAAGATCACCACCCGCTCCAGGAATGGCCTCACTTGTGAAGATGCCAAGGGAAATGCACAAACTTCTGAGGTCTAGTTTTGTGCTTTTAGATATGTGTATTTTCCTGTAAGCTAATGCCAAGACCTGGACTTGTTATTGTTCCAAACCAAAAGGACTGTGTAAAGAGACTAATCATTACTCTGATTCACTCAATTCAGTACATGTAGTAGTGCTAATACAGTACATTCTGCATTCAAAACTGGGCTGTGGAAGTACTTGGGAGGTGTGGAAATTGGTTCTTAGGAAAGTGGCACCAGCTTGACTAGCCATCCAGTGTGGCAATACTCTCAGAAAGCAAAACTTAAAAACAGGATATTGATGATGGCACAAAAATATTTCAAAGATCCAAACAGGAAACAAAGCCAGATGTGTAGACAGAGTTGTGAAGTTGAAGCTGTGAACTTCTTGCCTGATGCAGACAGCAGTAAATGCTACTGCTACTTGAAAGGCGAAGTAATAACAGAGAGTCACAACAAGTACATTTTTAAAGAAGCTGCAGCACTTCAAAGGATTAATGGAGCTGATGGTCACACCATGTAAACATGCAGTGCTCCTGTCCCGTCCATACATCTAATATCCAATAAAGAATGAAACCTGATGTGGAGTAGAGGCAGGTCAGTCAGTACTACAGCTCAATGGGATGGCTTTTTTTAGCAGTTTTAAAATTAGCATCTAAAATCCATCTGACAGTAAGGTTAATATGAAACAATGTGTGGTCTCATTACCATGGATTTAATATAGTCTGGAGAAAGAAGCAGTTTCCATGTTGTCTTTTGTAATGCAGTAGCACTACTGTTAGATACAGTATAAGATTAGTAAGCATTTGATACAGCAGGCATTCATATGGTTTCTTAGGACACTGTGATCTTTGAAATCATGGCATCTCTGAGTACTGTCATAGTTTTGTGTTTTAGGGAGAACAGTAATATAATAGCCAAAAAGCTCTAAACTCTTCTAAAATTGACATTTTTAGTTTCCAGTGCAATGTGACTGAGTGCTTCTTATCATAGGACTTCGTGATGATCTGTGTACAAAACCTATTCAGTCCAACTATGCAGTTATATTGTACATATCGTACACTATTTTATAAGATCTCTTTCTAGGATCACAGTTCTCTGAAATGTATGTCTGCCTCAGCAGAGCAAACTTTATTTGGCTTCGACTGAGTTCATTTGTATGTTCTGTGATTTTGCTTACCTCATTTTGCATAGCTTATTCGCTGTCCACTTCTCCAATCTAGAGAGACAACAAGTTTGCAAATAAGGGAGCCAGCATTTTTTCTAGAATGAACAACTCAATATCTCATCATTAAAAGTGTCTACAGAGAGGTAACAAGTAATTCTTTCTTCAGGGGAAAATTGTTCATGTACCGTTCCTTGGCAAACTATAAACTGTAAAAACTCATTAACTGGCATACATTAATTTGTTCGTATTAAAGAACTATTTTTGGTTAAAATCTATAAAAATGATTGTCAGCATTAACATTTTTATAGCTTATAATAGAAAACACTATAAATCACACTAAAATAGATTTTGTGTTTACAAGTGGTAAAACAAAATTGAAATAGAACAGTAAAAGTTTATTCAATGCTGAAAAGGGAAGAAAGTAAATACCTTTCTGAAAATAAATGGAAATAGTTTGCCATAAATACTGGGTCTATTATGACGTTTTGCCATCTCATATTTATGTATCCAATAAGGAATTATGAATTGTCTGCATTGCTAAAGTTTTAATTCACTTTTAAGAACATACAGATAGCATACAAATCTTCATTCCTTTTGACAGCTCATGTGCTAGGAATCCACATTTTAAATGCAGTAAGAGTCCTAGAAACGGAGATCACAAGAATCTCAACAGACACGAAACATCACATTCCAATGTATACAATTGTAGACTCAATATTCAGGCAAAATGGAGTTGTCATTGTGTTTAAATACATTGGGTAGATACAACTAAAATGCAGGTGGGTGATCACGGCATATTTCTCCTCTGATATCACAGCTTTGTTTCTTCACGAAATAACGTCACTTTGAGAAGACAGTTGCCCATCTGGTCTGGTGTGCTAAAATCTGCTGGTGCATACCCACCTGCGTGGGTGATACTGTGTACTGTTTGACAAGATGAGTCTCCACCTCTATGAAATATGAGATACTTCTGGAGGAAAAGCACCACATAATTGCATGAAAATATCACAAAGCTCAAATAAATATCTCAAATAAAAGGTAATTTTTATCTTATCCGTAAAACATTTTCAAAATACATGTGAAATGCCATCCTGTTGGGTTTTTTTATACCCTCAAAAAGAAAACTATTTTTTTTTCTAAAACTGACACATTTTGTATTAAAAAACATGGGAATATCTGCTCACCAAATGCTAGTTTTCAATGTGGCTGTATGTACAATTACAATTACACATGTACAGTACAATTACAGTCTTTTGCTTGGGTCATAGATTTAATCTGTTGTGTCTTGATCTAGAGTATGGTACAGTATAAGTCAGTGTATGGAATTAGTTCATACAGTATGTATCTTACGTGTACTAGATATTCATCATGTACAGTATCAATACATTAGGAGATATCTAAGACTCTTTGGAACACTGATTTATGGGTTTTGTCGAAAAAGTAAAGCAGGCACAACAATGAAAGAACAGCAGGCGTGTATGGCTCAAGTTTCATTGTATACACAACAATTGCTGGATGATTAAATATTGCCACAGTCAATTCGAACTGAAGTACTGATTTCTAACTCCAAGGAACAACTGTGTAGGATGTACCACAACCACGCCCAGTTTAAAAAAATTAGGTAAAGCTGAGATTCTTTCATTGAAAAGATGGAAGACTGTCCTGTGAGTCACCCAGATCTAGATGAATCACACTTTTAAGTCAATGGAATTATCCATCCTAAATACAAAAGAAAATTGTTTAAATAGAATAATATATTATTTTATAAAATATAAACTGTATAAAATGACCCTCTGTGATAACATAAAACTAACAGATCTGTTTGACATTCCCAATATATAATAATATTCCAATATGATGTGAACTGTGTAATAATAATTCTAATCTTTGACATGAGGTAATAGTGCGTGTGACTTTTCAGATCTTTGAAAATCTTTTGAGCACTTTATTAAGATTCTCAGAATGTTTTTGATAAACCCCAGTATTTTGTGAAAAATCTGATATGGCTGCCAACCTGCACGATAATTCACTCTGATCGTTCACTTTGTCCCTCACAATGCATGTGCTTTCGTTCGGGAGCAAATTCGGACACCTTCATTTGTTTGGTCTCCTGATAATAAAGAATAATTATTAATTATGACTATGTACTGATTCTAATCAGTAACGATATTTTTGAAGCATTCTAACCATACAGTACGTGTAGCTCTTCTATCAGCTGTTAGGGTGATCTGCAACCTGATGATTTTAGATTGCGTGTGATAAAATATACATTTAAAACAGTATGGGGCGCTTGTTTTCTGTCTAAGGCTACATACAGCACACATTGTCATCAGAACACTTACTAAACCGCGGGGACTTGTGAATGGTAAAATAGCACATAATGTACAGGACTGTAGATTTCAGAGGGAGGAGCGATGTGCGAGGTCAGGTGCTTTTAAGTGTTTTCCGAAGGTGTGCCATCTATCATCATTATGTCTTGCCTATTTTTGTGGAAAGAAAAATAAACGAATGACACCTGGAACTGCACAGAATCAAAGCGAACTCAGAGAACACTTGACAAATTGGCTTACAAAAGTCAAATTAATAAAAATATTATGGATTTCCTAAGTAGTTTATTGTTTCTACAAGTAGTCTATATGGTTGCCAGGACTATTCTACAAAAAAGAAGTCATATAAAAGGATAGATCCGAAGGTAACATCTGGATCACTGCCTCGCTGTGCCTCTCATTATTGAGTGGTAGACAAGCATAAAATAGGTGAGATTTGTTATCTGCTGGTACGTAAAATATTATTAAGCTGTAAAGAAATGTATCCATGAATGACTCATATCTCTCGTTTTTTTTCCAGAGCTACGGGAAACCAAATAGTACTTAACAGGAAATAATTATAAACCTGAACAATTTAATCAATACAGTTTTAGAAACCAGAGCATTAAAATCTTTGAAACAGCACCGATATATAAAATTTTAAGATTGGAAGCAAGAAGTAACAAAACTATTATAATTCTTAGCTTTTTTGTTTTTACAAATATACCTCTAAAATTCAGACTTGTAAATATCACCAGAAACGTTATTAAGCTTAATTTCTAATGTGGTGCTAAAAATATTATATGATAATAAATATTATATATTATATATTTTGGAACGCACATATAATATATTTACATAGCTAGCTATTGTAACCGACGTATATATATATATTTCGCGATCATTTGAAGAAAAACAAATCCGAACAAAATGGATAAATTCCGTATGATGTTCCAGTTTTTGCAGTCTAACCAGGAATCTTTTATGAATGGCATCTGTGGGATTATGGCACTGGCCAGTGCGCAATTATACACAGCTTTTGAGTTTAACTGCCCCTGTTTACCAGAGTACAACTATGCGTACGGGATTGGGATTCTCCTTCTTCCGCCAATCATACTTTTTCTAATTGGATTTGTGTTGAACAATAACGTGTCCATGCTGGCGGAGGAGTGGAAGCGGCCGACGGGGCAGCGGAGAAAAGATCCAGCGGTGCTGCGCTACATGTTCTGTTCCATGACTCAGCGCTCCTTAATCGCTCCGGCTGTGTGGATATCTGTGACTCTGATGGACGGGAAGAGTTTCCTCTGTGCTTTTAGCATCAATTTGGAGTTAGAAAAATTCGGAAACGTCAGCGACCACGGGCTCTCCGAATACGAGCTCCAAAGATTACTAGCCAAAATCCCCTGTAAGGAGATATTTAACGGAGGCGCAGTGATTTCCCGCGAAGCAGCGGAGAGGTATCTTCGCTGTATTTCACAGGTAAACCAAGCTTTTCATCACACTATTTAGGAATATACCGTTATTCGAAATCACTTATAATTAATATGTTTTTGTAATCATTAAACTGGAAATTTCACGGCATCACAAAATTGTTGCCTTGGGCTTTGGCTGCTTATGGACTTTCACTACACTGATTGCGTGTTGTGGTTTGAGAACTATTGGAATGTTTACTTAGCAATGCAGTTTGAAGTTGTCCGCATTTGTCCTAAAGAAAGACAAATTACCTGGTTACGTTATGAAATCAGTTCGTTTGATAACACAGTTACAGTTATTAAAACACATCACTTCTCCATGATAGCATGTATGGAAATAACATAATGAGTAATGACATTATTTTGTTGTCTGAACCTGTAATTTGGAGAGACATGTCCAAAGAGTTAATAATTCTGAAATGTGAGAACTGTATTGATGTCCAGGCTCTTGTAACAAAAGGAGGCCATGAAACCGTATACAAATCCTGCTACATTTACACAGATAAAATCCATGTTGTTCTGTAGTAATGGTTTACTGTGCATTAAGGACAATATAAAATCAGCACATCAATAAGGCTACACATGAGAGGAGGCCATTGGCCCCTTTTAAACCCCAAAGCAAGTACTGACTGAACAGGGACCAACTCTCCCAAAGTATCCAATACCCTTGAAACCCCTCTGGAAAGGGACAATTTAAGAGTGACCCATCAAACCTCACCTTCATGTTTTGGGAGGTGGGAAAAAAATCGAACAGCTTGAGAAAGTCTACACAAACACAAGGGAGGTCATGCAACCCTCACACAGACAGATGCCCCTAAAAGTGGTAAATCTATGTGGCTACTGTATGGACCAAAGCAATTAGAGCCAGTCCGGGATTTGTGGCTTCAGTATTTGGAGATTCTGCTTTTACCACTTGACAACTGTGTGTATGGCTACAAAAGCACAGGGACATACACTAATAAAGGTTACAAACCAGACAAGCTACTGTATTTGGATTATCATACTTGTTTGGCTTGTAGTAGCTAATTGATCCGAACATCTCATCTTTGCTTCCTTGAAGGAAGTCAGAGCATCGGCTTTGATGAGTCAGAGTTCCACGGCTTTTTGTGCACTGTAAATAAGTTCCTTCTCTTCTCAGTTCTGAATACACTTTCCATTAGTGTATTTGTCAGTTATATTTTGGGGTGTTTTAATACTTGAATCATGTATATCAATCAGCGTAGGACGTTCTTTTAGGTCTGTGAACATTCTCTGAACCAGTTCTAAAGGAGTTATGTCTTCTTCAGAACATGAGGATCAAAATATCACACTGAATCATAACTACAGACTTAGTAATACATTGTGCAATTTGTAAAAATCTTTGCTTCATTTGAATTTTACATTTTCATATGTATATCCAGACATTTTTTGTCTACTTATTACTTCTTACTTTCACATTGGCACGTTAATATTTTTAAATAATAAAACCAAGCACCAAATACAAAAGGTAAAAATTAAATAAAATACAATTATATTAGATTATTAAAATCACAGTAAGAGTTTCAGAAAGTCTGATAAAGTTTCCTATTAAAGGGTAATGCATCCTTTTGGATTGTAATTTGGTTACTAAACAGAAAACAGATTGCAGATAAGGGGTGAATGTTCAAATTGGGGTGATGTATTTATTAGAGTATCATAGAGATGTGTACTTGGAGCACTGCTTTTCCTAATTTATATGGATGCAAATGATTTTGATATATTTAGTAAAGTAATCAAGTGTGCAGATTTTTTTTCTAATTTAGCAAACACTGCAAAAGCAACTAATTAAATTTAAAAGGATTTTGGTGAAATTCAAGACTGGGAAAACACCTGGCAGATGAAATTTAATATGGACAAGTAGGTAGTAAAAACATAAACTAATTACAAAATAGGAGACACAGAAAAGGCGACTTATAAAAAGACTTTGGTATTAGATGTTGACACACAGGAGCCATAAAATAAAACAAAATGTTAGATGCTATATTGACAGAAATGTAGAATTAGTTAGTTAGGCCTGGTTGAAATACTTTGTATACTTTGGTCACCATATAAAAAAAACACTAGTGGAACCGTCTACCCAGACATGGGGATGAACTCAATACCTAGACTTCCAACATGAAACGCCAGGATGACATCCTGGGATTCCGAACCAGAGGGGCTGAAGGACTGCCTCTCACTTGTCATCCCAGCTCTGCTCTCTGTATGGCTGAAAGCAAAGAGATAGGAGAATTCAGTTTCCTGACTTCTGCATTATGCACATAGTACTAATCTGACTTTATCTTTTAAGATCATCATGCATTATTGCATGCTGGAGTTGGTATTGCCCAGTTGGAAACAACTGGTTTGTGTGGTTTAAATCCCCAGTTTGCCTGTGATTAACCAAGCTGCTTTGTTTTGCCTTAAAATCGAAATACCACTCAATGAAGGCCATAATACTGCGTATAGTAAACTAATTGCCTGTGGCCCTTAGAATCTCTTGTAAGAGAATTGAACCTGTTGTTTGCTGTCCAGTCAGTGTTTCATGTTTCCAAAAAAAGGTTAAAATACAGTTCAAACAAACAGTTCATTTCATTTACTGTGAAATAATTGGGTGCAAATACTGTAGTACTGTAGTGCTCAGAAGCACAGATGTTCATAAATGGGGAACAGAAATCCTGTGTATGCAAATCTGTATGTAATTTGTACATAATTTACATGGTTCAACTGGAGTTCAAGGCTTTGCAGAAATGCGAATGGTGCGTTTTGTCTTTATTATATAATATTATATGAGAACAGAGAGACTTTGCTGCAGTCACTTTCAATTAATGACCAGTTCTGTAAATACTTTTTTTCTCATCTTTAAAAAAGGTTGTTTGAAGTGTTTAAAAAATCTATGCTATGTGAATGAACGCGGATCTTTGGTCCAAAAACCTTGATAATTCAGATCCAGTTTTGGGTATATTTCATTTTTAAATTTAAAAATGAAAATGACACTAATCTATCACAATGTACTACATGAATAGATAACAATGGCTTTTTTATAATGTTTCATTAAGCATAGTAATAGTTAAAAGCTATCAGTCAGCTTAGCATTAGACCAAACTATAAATTTGGAGGCAAGAAGAGCTGTTATACTACTATTCACTTATTCATACTTAGAATCTGTTGACACCTGCAGTAAACAAGAAAAATATCTGAATTTTTCCAGATATATACTCAGATATGTGAATTTTTATGAATTTTAGTAAAATGATTCTATTATTGTAATAAATACATTATAATAGACTAAAATGTTAGTGTATTGTGTTGCTGTGGGTAAGTTATATATACTGTACAAGCAAGATATACACAGTGACAGCTATTCTTTGCTGGTGAACCTACAATGTATAGTACAGTATGTAAATCTAAGATGTACAGTATACAGTAGATTTAGATTTTGCCTAACAACTGTAGTTTGTTTTTGTTGTAGCAACATAATTGTTGGGGCTAAGGGGTTTATGGCATGCAAGAATAAAGTTCAAGGTCTCTGATATTGATACAATGATTACAAAGGAAATATTTATTTTGTATCCAGAAATATAAACACACTTGGATACCAAGAATCAAAGCTGGTGAGCCCATTCCTGATCCTTGTCTTATTTCCCATGAAATCAGTACACCCCTGCCATCTCCACTGTCCAGTCATCTCATTTTGTTTTGGAAACAGGAAACGCTGGCTGGACAGAGAAGTTCAATACAATTTGCACAGGACAAAATGACTTGTACAATATTTGGTGTGAACTGGACTAAACTGAACCAGCCGTCCATTCTGGCTGCCTTTACATTACATAGACCTATTTCAGGCCTTGAACAGCCAATTTGTAGTGTTTTGGTTCTAGTTTTTATTTTAGAAAAATCATTCTCTAAAGTAAATATCTGATTCACTTATAATAAGTATATTTCCCCCTGGTGGTTTCTGTACAGAATTGCATGCATATTGAAGAGGGGAAAGGGATTTCGTTCATTTGTTCGTTCGTTCATGTTAAATGAATGAAGTGATAAGTCTGCTGCCTGTGTTTCAAGAAGAAAGTCAAATTTTATTTTTAAACTGAGTATTACATGTTTTAAAAAACCCTTGACAAATTTTAAAATAGAGATACTTTCTGCTCTGATGCATTTCACTCTTCTGGTATACAGTAGTTTATTCATTTAAAATCACATTCGGTGGGGAAGGATCTTTCAGAATTAAAAATGAGCAAATATGTGATTTTGTTTTGGTTTATAATATCGTTTAAGTGAGCCAGGCAAATGCCCTGGTAATGAATTCTGAAAGACCTGTTAATCATCCTTTAAAGGTTCTAACTCTAAATGCCTGTAAATTGTTTTCACGCTTCTGCTATTCCAAGATGTGCTCTAAAACATCTATCTCCTATTTCCAGGCTTTCGGCTGGATCTTTTTGCTGATGATCACCTTACTGGCTTTCATGGTGAGGGCAATTCGACCCTGTTTCACCCAGGCTGCCTTCCTGAAGACCAAGTACTGGTCTCACTACATTGACATTGAGCGCAAAATGTTTGACGAGACCTGCACGGAGCACGCCAAGAGCTTCGCCAAAGTGTGCATCCAGCAGTACTTTGAGAGCATAAGCGGCGAGATGCGCCAGTTCCATGGCCACAACTGTAAATACGACGACGAGGACAACGGCAACGACGATAAAAACGAAAGCGAACAGGACAAACTCCTGGGCATCAGAGCCCAGGATGAGATGAACAAAGTGCTGAGGAACTGGCACACCTGCAAGCCTCCTCTCAACCTGAAAAAAGAATGCCAGAACGGAAATGCCAACGGCCACGCGGAGTTGAACCACACAAATGAACCCTTCCCGCCAAAGAAAGAATGGGTGACTTACTACAGCAAGGTGTGAATGTGCCCAGGGCAGGTCCAGTACAGTATAGACTAGGCACAGGTATAGGCCCAGATGCAGAAAGCCCCTTTACTGGGAGGATTTCAGCATGGCAGGTCTTGGCACTGCGTCTTAGATGCCAGATGTCATTTGTCCTCTGTGTCCCAGCACAGCAGACAGACAAAGAATAAATGTGGTTGTTTCCAGTGCAAACACTGACTGCTTTGTAGATCTGAAAGCCACCAATAATTGAAAAACAGCTTCCCGTGGATGACAAGGACGCATTATCATGGCAATAATATAATAATACAACACTGAACCAAAAGATACAAAACTGAATAAGACATGATACACAAGTAGGTTACCATTTTCACTATATACTGTATATAATAATTCTCGCCAAGGAAGAAATACGGTTCACTCTCCATTACTTTCTTAAGAAATTACAGACATTGAAGGTCAAGAAAAGTAATTGGGAAACATCGCTAGTCCTATGGACTGAATTTATAGAGGAAAATATGTATGTATGTATAAACTAGGGACAAAAATAGTGTTAAGATGTCTTTAATATTTAAATGTATTTGTAGAGGTTGGGGCTGATGAATTGTCTTTTACATTGTATTCTGATGCTCTTTAATACCAGGACTGAGACTGCAAGTATAGGAAACCATACATAATCATTAATGTCCTCCACTCACTTCTATAGATATACAGGTATACCCATGAGCCTAACTGCCTTATAATCCTTCTTAGCCACCTTTATAGTTATTCTTAAGATACTTTTTTAAAATCATACTATTATTATTGGTTTTCAGTTTCCATGATTTTGTATTTATAGATTATATCTGAGAATTGTTATTATATTACATTATATTATGCAATGCAATAGAAATGTAGAAAATGGTCACACCTTTTCTCTATTCTAGACCATATGTTTCAGATCTTAAACCAACAAAGGCAGTAAACACGAGAATCCAATAGAGAACTCATTTGAGAAACTGCATGTCGAACACTACTGACAGTGTGCTGTACATACTGTATACTGAGAAGCATTTGCCCTTTAATGCCTCTCAGTATATTAAGAATAAATACATGTTTTAATTTAATTGTTTTCTTAATATCTGTCCCTCTCTAACGTCAATGCTACACTTCAGTTCTTTTCTTTATGAGAATGTACTACAGGATGGGGTTTAAAACTAAGAGCCCAGGTCCCAGTCTTCTCATGTTCTATTGTATAAAAAGATGGTATGTGCCAAGAGTTTCTGGAGGTGATGGGGAATATCCTATTAGGATCTGCATTCTCTATAGGAAAAGAGTCACCCAAAGATGTTCATTTTTAAGTAAGCTGTTGCATTTTCCACGAAGAACCATGAAGAACAGTTTAGTATTCCTTATTAGACATTTTGGTAAGATTTTGTTTTGCATCTCGGGCATGTATATTTCTTAATTTATGTAATTTATTTGTTGTGATATGAAAGTCAGACAGTCCTCTTCCAAAATCATTTGTATGGAAAATCTTTGTTTCAGAAAAGCTTTATAGATGAAAGAAAATCTTCTAGTGCCTTGTTTTTCAGTGTGCAGGTTTCATGTGATAGAAAACATAAGGTATGCAACGTGTACCTTTGACATTTTTAAGTTTTAATGAAGGAATAATTAAGTGATACAGTATGTTTTGCATGTAATAAATATTTTATTAGTACTTTTCAAAGTGCTTTCTATTTGGAAAATGCAACCTCTCCCTACCTAGTGATAATGTTAAGACAGCGTTTATGTTACAAAACACAATTATTTAATAAAATAAAAAATAACAACACTACAGAAAGATCTGATCTATTTTACTACTCCGTTGGGCCCCTGAGCAAGGCTCTTAACTCCAGCTGCTCCAGGGGCCGCTGTACAATGGCTGACCCTGCACTCTGACCCCAGGCTCTTTCCCTATCTGTGTGTCTGTGTGTCTCATGGAGAGCAAGCTGGGGTTTGCGAAAATACAAATTCCTAATGCAAGAAATTGTATAGGGTTAATAAAGTGATGATGTTATTATTATGTTATGTTACTTCCTGAAGTTTTTTCATGAATAATCTTCCTTCATGACAAATGACGCATTCCGTGAGTACAGATTATTATTGAAGTGAATGAATGGAGTTCTTTATTTCTGCTTTTGTCAATGTTTTTTTTTTTTGGTCTGGAGGATGGCAACCAATCATGAACTGCTCATATAAAAAGGGATCTTTTTCAGGTCAGATGACACCCCATCTCAGATAAACAACAAAAACACTTAGTAATACAAACAAAATGGCAACTGCCCAACTGAAGAAATCTGTGTAATGAAATTTCGTGGCATATCCTCAGACAAGGACTAATTGTGTAAAATGAATTAGTATTTTGGACATCTAGGTCTCTGCAACAAGAAAACAGCTGAATAACTGAGTCCATTCTTTTCAGTCATGAACTGGGGTTATACAATATCAGGTGGCAAAGGTGAAGATTCAAGTAATCTCTGGTATGTTCTAGAAGCCTCCACATATAAGGGTTAAGACATTTATAACTTACTGGGACGATTTGGCTTGACAACTGCTTTTGTAGCATTCTTCACACACAGAGCTACGCTAAGGCTTCAGAAGAATGCAGTTTTTCCAGAAAGCATGTTCCTTATGAACTGCATTATTGGAAACACCTGTTATGAAAGACAAACAGTAGAAAAGCATGATAATTGTTTTCTAAATCCCTTTCTAAAATATGTTTTTGGTCCTCCATGATTCAGTACAGTTCACTAACATCTTAAAACATTTTGTTCTTCCTAATTCTCATATTAGACCCCACTACAGAAGATGCCTTTAAAAGGCATCACAATGGACCACTCAACTTCCATTGCTCTGCATAAAATGCTGTGCTTTTATAAAGACAAATACATAGAAATAATACTGAAATAATGACTTAATATCAATTCTAGTGCAGAATGTCTAAAATGAAGCCATTCTTTTCAAATAAGCAATTGCACCATTACTTGGACTGGAGCAGCAAAGTTGAGTGATGATTAGAGCAATGTATAATGAATGGGTGCTGTAGTCATCAATAACCCTGTGTGTTGAAGGAGCCAGGCAATGTCACAGTCTTATTATTGTGCAGTTAGCTTGCCTAAGAGTTAACTGTGCACTCAGTTAACTGTGCATTGACTCTTTCCGGACACGAGGTTACAATCAGAAGATGAGCTTTCCCATATTCGAATCAGTGATGTTTGGGCTATAGGGCTAAGCCCGTTACATTGGTCACATAAGTCAATGGGGTAGTTCTTGAGATTACTACAACCTTGGCCTGGGACTCCCAGCAGCCAGTCCTGGTCCTGATAGACCTGCGCACATGAAGCAAAAGATAAAAAGGCTGTACGGCCACCCTGAAACCCTGAGGTGGCTACATTTTGGTATCCAAGACCATTCTTTGAGTGGTCTGTGGCACTCAAAGATTGGAAATTACTTACTGTTTTATCTTTTCTGAAACTCTTTGCAACAATGTCCAACAATCCTTCGTTTTAGCTAATATCCTAATTATTTACTTAATCATCAGAACCCATTGTGATATAATGTCATATCTTTGCAACACAAATTAACAGAAGAAGCCAAAATGGCTTTTAAAAAAGATTCCTGCACCTACCCCAGTAAATATGATTGCTATGGACCGGTACAGGAACACTAGCATGTAAACAAAGGGGCCTATAATGTTTGCCGGTTGACCTTTTATGTACACGATAACAGTAGAGTACACTGTAGAAATACTTACCTGTGGCGACCTCTCTCATCCTATCTTATTCATATCTTCTTATACAGAAATCATCAATGCTTATCCAAGTTAAATCAGAAAAATGCATCAGCAGAAACAACGTGCAGTAACAAAATGCATTACAACAGTTGACATGTCAAAACAGTTTAAAACCAGCACATGTCTTTCAATACTAAACCTATCTAAAATGTAAACAGAGATATGAATGCAATCCATCATGTATTTTATGTGATATTTGTAAATACTGGAAGATATTTTCCGAAACACATTTCTACAATCTATTTCTGTTCCATGTGGACCCCTAGTGAATTCTGGAGCACAGGCTGTGTGAATGCCTTCTTAAAAAGCATTTGTATGTTTTTTCATATTACAGGCCCACTGAGTTGATCTCTCAGCCATTTACCTTATTTACCCTAGCCATTCCCTATCTGGCTTAGTGTTCTTCTCTAGTCTACTTCTCTATTAATTACTTTGTCTATTAATACAGCACTTCCCCATCCCTGTCTGTGTGGTTTTCAGGCACCTGGTGACATCACAGAAAGTGATCCTGAGAGCTACTGTAAGTGATTATTGCCTTTAGAGAATGGAAATCCAGAACATTCTTTCAATCAGAAAACACACCTCCTAATTTACATAGACGAGGGGAACAAAATCATTCCTAGTCATGCAAATCCATGTGCTGGAAGAGAAACAAGGTCACTATTTGCATCTTTTTAAACTTGTTTCTCAGAAGTTCTTCTCTTCTGTCTGCAAACAGACATAAATTCCACTCAAAAAATGTGAACATGAAAGGCTCACAAAGGAGGTCAATGGTAAGACGTTAATCACATCAAATCGCAGTAGTTTTAAAACTAATAGAAGTGTTATACAAATATACCTCAGCTTTTTGTTTGAATTTCCTTTGAATTTGTTCAAAGGCTATAATAACAAAAAACAACAACAATAATATAATAATAATAACAATTGTTATTATTCTATTATTGTTGCAGATATATTATTCCTCGTCGTAATCTGGTGCAGGTAAACGACTCCCCAAAATCATGTCGCTATTCAGATAACGAATGATAAGCCCGAGCTCCAGCATTTTCTCACGAATCGCCAAATAAAGTTCATTTACTCCGACAGCGAAGCCGCCTGCCGTTCCGGATCGACGTTCTCTGGGATTTGGTTTGTCAAATGTTTCGATTCGTTAACGCAGTTTTGCGTTACCAAACCCAGGCTGCCGCGCTGGGGGTGGAAACAAACCGCGGATCTGTGCGGTGATTTCGACACACGCCCGCGGAGCGCGGGGCGGCGAGGGCGCCCTGAGAGAAATCAAGTAGTGTATAAAACGTACCCGACAAATTGAATAATGGTCTTAATTGCCTCGTTTACAGGATTAAGGTAATTCCTTTATTGCAGCGTTGCTAAAACCCATGCGGCGAGTTTCTCCAACGAGCTTGGACGAGCGCGACTCGAAAGGGGTGCGCTTGGCCTGAAACCGAGCTGTGGTTACAAACGCTGCGAGTGGAACCGCTCGCTTGTCGTATTAATTTGATTTAGTGTGTTACCGACAAGGAAAAGTTCTTTCTTAGTCCTGGTTCAGTTGCCAATGGAAATCGCTGATCAGCGCTTTGCTCCAGCACATTAAATAACACGAAAGGCAGATGGTTTATTTCACTTTTTGTTTTCGGACACCTTAGGGTCCTCCCAGTGGTTTAAGTT